TGTATTGTATAGTAGCATAGTGTATAGTTGTGTATAGTGTAGTGTATAGTAGTGTAGTTTATAGTAGTGTAGTGAATAGTAGTGTAGTGTATCGTAGCGTAGTGTATAGTAGTGTATAGTGTAGTGTATAGTAGTGTATAGTGTAGTTTATAGTAGTGTATAGTGTAGTTCATAGTAGTGTATAGTGTAGTGTATAGTAGCGTAGTGTATAGTATTGTATAGTAGCGTAGTGTATAGTAGCGTAGTGTATAGTAGCGTAGTGTATAGTAGTGTAGTAGTGTATAGTAGCGTAGTGTATAGTAGTGTATAGTGTAGTGTATAGTAATGTATAGTAGTGTACTTTCTAGTAGTGTAGTGTTGTAAATGTCGGTTATAAAAATTTGATGAAAATAATAAAAATTAACTGAAATTTGGAAAAATGCGTAGTTATCCGAAATTATGTTTATTGATGTAATTATGAGCATAAATTATGCTAATTCGAGAGATAGTCGTATTAATCTATGCGAACATGCGTGATTATGCAAATGTAAGCCTTAATAATAATTAGGCCCCGCCTCGCTGACGACGGTAGTATTATCAATTGGGATAATACAATTAAACGTATGAAGTTATGCAGGTGTGCTATGAGTATGCTAGAGTAAGCTCGGCTTTGTCATCTATGTTCGTATTATCGATCGGTATAATACTCTTATTCTCGTATTAACATTTACTGATTATGTATTAGTGTTTTATGTCAGGTCTCCAAATTGAAATCTCAACACAGAATACAGTTCTTATCATTAAGATTATTATGCATGAACTCAGGAAAGAAACACGCAACCACTTCTGTGTTAAGCAATTTTATTCTAAACGAAACCTTAGCTCTATACTAAGTGAACTCTCAGGCTTGGAATTGTCAACACAGTACCATCGGGGAATTCCCTCAGGCCGCAGCACATTTAACATCAAGGATTGCGTTATTTCACTTTGGCAACTGCACATATCATCAATTCCACCGCGTAACACGAGCTTAGTTGGTACTAGGAGAGTCTTAACCCATCATGCGCGATATTCTAAACAAAACCTTAACACTTATAATATGCGATTTATTATGCTTGAATTGTCAACACAGTACTCCAGGCGATGTTCCCCTCATTGACTATACATTCTGCCCTCAATAATCACATTGTTAATTGGGTAGCAGATCAATTGATTACTTCAGAGTACCACGAGCATACACGGCAAATACGAATAAAAAAAATCCTTAAAAATTGATCCGACGACATTCATGCGAAAGGCGATCAAAGCAATTATTATACCCTAAAGGCACAAATATACGTCAATAGATTCATCGGCGAGGTTATATAATGAACGAGATGTCTTGGAATAAGGTGTTCCGCCGTACGTGCCCTCCCACGGGATATTAATTAATTCGTGGACAAGATTGTATGATAAAGAAACCGGTTTAACACGATATTCTCCCTGTGAGCGTATGGAATCGTAGCGAAGGTTTCAAAAGTGTAATTGTATTGATGAATCTATTGGTAATCTATGCGATTGTAAGTAAAATCACAAAAATATTACTGTACTTAAAAAAAACCGACGTATTCTCATCACTCGGTGAGCCAGCTGATGGTTCAGGTACTTGATAATTAGGCTTCTTATTAATGATTCGTGTATGTGTTGAGTGTTGTGAATTGGGTTGAGTAGGGGTATGTTCTGGATCAATTCTTTGCGTCAAGAAGATGCCAGGTGATGCGGTGGCAGTGTGAGTATCATGCGAATAGCTGGATTCCTTCGTTCACGACAGCCGTAGTTCAGCCCACAACTGGTTGACGGGTTGACGCGATGGTCGCCGTTGGCGCGATGATCCGTCGGCAGATGGCGCCCGCAGCTCGTCTGCTGCTGTTGACGCTCTTGCTTGGCGTCGCTTGGTGGCGCTCTCTCTGGCGATGAATGATGGTTCCGTTCGTCGACGGCAGGTTTGGTCAACGCTCGACTCTTTCCGCCCTCTGGTGGCTGATGCTGGAATTCTCGTCAGCTTAGCTAGACTGCAGTGACCCTTGTGAGTCGAGGTTCAGAGCGGAATGCTTTTCGAGCGATACTTCTTCTGATGGTGCTGAGTTCACACAGCGTGGCATGTCGCTAAACAGCGAGCCTCGCCATTCTGGGCGAGTTGTTGAGTCTTCTTCTGCGTCGCTGGTGGCTGATATCTTCTGATGGTCGCCGTCTTCTGCCGCTGGTCGCTGATGCTTGAATGCTCACGGGCGGCTGGTCAGGCTCTTTCCCCTGCTGGGTGAGCCGAGTCGGCACCACGCTTGGCCGCTGGCAGCTGGCACCCTTGCTTGGTGGCACTGGTTGCGCTGCAGCTGGCAGCTGGCACTCGAGGAAGAATAAAAGTCTTTTAGCGATACTTCGTCTTTCAGCTCTGAACTCACACTCGGTGACACATCGCTACTCTGCATGCCTCACCATGCTCGGTTGATTGCGGGGCCCACCGGGGCCTGCCGCTCGCCGCCTTCTTCTGTAGCTCGCCGAGCTGTCCCTTGTTGAACTGAACTGTCGAGATGATGGTTGAGCTGTTATATCCGAAAAAAATCTCCGCTCTGCATTGTGGGGAGGGGTGTGGTCCGTGTCCGTGTGTGTGTGTTATTAGGTCATCACACATCCGTGGGCACAGATGGCACCCGCGATAAAGAGTAATTTCCCTCGCTCTGGCGTTAAATTCCTTTCTCGTGCTGCGGTAAGACAAAGGCGGCCGGGAGGCTCCTTCCTATGGAACACAGTCTATCTTGGCTATGTAAGCCCGACCCATTCAGCCTCATCCCTTCTCGATAACCCTTGATTTAACACTGCATCATTATTGTTTGTTTATGTTTCCCAAGATTTGTGATTTAACACCGTCATCACGGCACACTTTCTAGGTTTATTAATTTTCGTCTCCCCGTCTGTATGCTTGAGTTATCATTTATTTCATTTTATTTCCGATGTCCTGAGTTTAAGAGGTAAGTTTCTTGACCGTTGTAATTCATATCCCTTGGTTTATGTAAGGTCATGTAACGCCGAGATGTGATGTAATTTAAGGTGAATCACGTGAGCATTAATATTATGCATGTGATGTAATAACCCGCTGTGTGAATTGTAGTTTGGTTTTTTCTTAATGAGGGTGTGGATTCTTTATGATGTCGACTCGTTGTTGCTAAGTTCTGAATTTTAACCATTGTAGATTGCCCTATATGACATCATAACAACAGTCTGGACCACTGGACAGGTTCCGCAAGATTGGAAAGATGCCCTGGTGGTCCCCCTCTTTAAGAAGGGGGACCGCACAGACTGTAACAACTACAGGGGCATCTCACTCCTCAGTGTGCCGGGAAAGGTCCTGGCAAGGATTATTCAACATCGCCTTGCCGGGCACGCTGAGGAGTGGCTTGTGGAGCCCCAATGCGGTTTCAGGAAAGGGCGGTCCTGCACGGATGCCATATTTTCTGTCCGTCTGCTACAGCAGAGGTGTAGGAAATTCCAGCAAGACGTACATCTCTGCTTTATTGACCTGGTCAAGGCCTATGATACCATCAGTAGGCCTGGGCTCTGGGTTGTTCTTCGTGCTTTTGGAGTACCTGACCCTCTGCTCACGATCATTAAGGACCTTCATAATGGTGAGCGGACCCGGGTAAAACTACGTGGCTGGGAGTCAGAGCCATTCCCTGTACACCTTGGGGTGTGACAGGGATGTCTTCTGGCTCCCACATTATTTAACATCTATTTGACCACGTAGTTCATGAAGCCTTCAATAGTTGTACCGGGGGAATCTCCATATGGTACAGATACAATGGGAGGCTGATCGATGCCTGGGTGCGGTCAAGGGATGGCTCCCTATTGCTCAACCACGTTATGTATGCCGATGATTTGGTAATAGCTGCTCATTCAGAGGAGGAGTTGGAGATGCTGCTGTTGAGACTGGAGCGTGCTACTAAGAGATGGGGCCTTACCATCAGCCCCACCAAAACTAAGCACCTGCCTGGGTATTTTGTACCATCGGACACTCCACCCCCACAACTCCCAATCGGTGATGGGGCAGTTGTGGAGAGAGTGGAGAGTTTCCCAGACCTGGGCAGTGTGCCTATGACCGGCTCCAGTTTAACAGCAGAGGTCTCACTCCGAATCAGTCGGGCGGCAATATCTTTTCATCGGTTGCGTAACGCTGTGTGTCGCTCCGAACTAAGCTTCAGGTCTTCTCGGCCACGGTCATTCCCTCCCTTCTCTACGCTTGCGAAACATGGACCCCCTTAATGGAGCATCTTCGCCGGTTGGAAACATTTAGGTTGGCCTGCCTACGATCCATCCTGGGTTTAACCAGGCTGGAGTGTGTAAAGAGCTCACAAATCCTTGAAAAATCTGAGCAAGGTCCCATCGGTGAGCTCCTCCAGCAAGCAAGGCTGCGTTGGCTGGGTCATGTTGCCCGCATGCCCAGCCACCGCATGCCAAAACAGCTTTTGTTCGGCCGGATCGAGGGGGCTAATCAGGCGCGGTACGGGCTATAGAAGAGATGGAGTGATGTGGTACAGGAAGATGTGGAGCGTAGTGGACGTGCCGATGACCGGTACCAGCGGTGTCAGGATCGGCCTCTGTGGAGGAGGCTCGTGAAGGACGCTACTGGGCAGTTGGAGGCAGTCGCCCTCCAACAACAACAGAGGGCGGAGGAGCTACGCTCACAACAACGAGCGGAGTGCCGGGTGGCTAAAGCACAGCAGGTTGGCACAGTAGGGGGCACAGGTGGTGCATCAGGCAGTCATCTCGGTCATCTCAGTCAGTCGACCCGTGGCACCTGGGTTTGCTCCGTGACCTCCTGGCGGCGGGCGTTTGACACTTCACGTGGCGTCAAGGTGCACATGGCCCGGCACAAGCGTCGTGGTGACGTCACCGCCACTTAGTGGCGAATGGCGGTTGTTGTTGTTTATGTGTGTGTCTGTGTGTCACTCTGTGTGTGTGTGTCTTTACGTGTATGTGGGGCCACCCAGGCCGGTACAGGGACCCAAGAACGAGGAGGGGGCGGAGGACGCAGGATTGGGGGGTGCTGGAGGGGCAACCCCAGCTCGCCTCTCCTGGAGCTACGTGCACGGCGCCTCGCAGTGCCCCCTGCTGGGCTCCACTCTGGGCGCGAGCCTCGAGCTCGCGGCGCGCGCCCAGCCCCAGCGCGCGCTCCTCATCTGCGCCGAGCGGCGCGCCGAGTTCACCTACAGCCACCTGCTCGAGCGGGTGCGGTGGTGGGGGTTGGCGAAGGGGGGGGGGGTGGGAGGGGATATGGTGGGAGGGCGGTGTTGGGGCCATGGGGGAGAGGAGGGGGGGGGGGGGAATAGGAGTATGAAGGGAGAAGGCGGTGTGGCGTTTAGGGGGTAGGGGGAGGGGGCGAAGGGGGGAGGGGTTGAAGGGGGGAGGGGGTGAAGGGGAAGAGGGGCGTTGAGGGGGTAGTGGGGAATAGTGAGAGGGGGTAAATGGGGTGGGGCTAGGGATGCCCTGGCGGTCCCCATCTTTCAAGAAGGGAGACTGCACAGATTGTAACAACTACAGGGGCATCTCCTTCCTCAGTGTGAGGCCGGGAAAAGTCCTGGCAGGGATTATTCAACAGTTTAACACGTAGTCTTTCGCGATCAATATAATCCATAATAGAGGGGTTTTTTTAGGTTAGATATCAATATTTATATCACGCAACTATACATAATTACGCGATTTAAATAACCCAACAAAAAACCTATTGTGAATTATTCAACATCGCACCCTTGCTAGGCAGTGCACTGAGGAGAAGCTTGCAAAGCCCCAATGTGGTGTCAGACCAGGGCAGTCCTGCACAGACACCATATTCTCTGTCCGTCCGGCAGAGGTCGAGAGAATTTCAACGGTATCTACATCTCTGATATTGATTTGCTTAAGGCCTATGATACCATCAATAGGCCAGGGCTCTGGGCTGTTCTTTGTGCTTTTGAGGTAACTGAGTCTCTACCCACAATCATTAAGGACCTTCATGATGGTGGGCAGGCCCGGGTAACGCCACGTGGCCCGGAGTCGGAGCCATTCCCTGTTCACCTTTGGTTATGACAGGGATGTCCTCTGGCTCCCACATTATTTAACCTCATCTTTGACCACGTAATTCGAGAAGCTTTCCATGGCTGCACCGGAGGAATTGCCATCTAGTACAGCTACAATCGGAGGCTGAATGGTGCCCGAATGTGGTGGAGGGATGGCTTCCTATTGGTCAACCATCCGATATTTGCTGATGAACTGGTGATTGCTGCTCACTTAGAGGATGAGTTGAAGGCGCTCTTGCTGAACCTGGAACTTGCCACTAATTGGTGAGGTCTATCCATCAGCCCCACCAAAACTAAGCACCTGCCTGGGTATTTTGTGCCATCAAACAACTCCACCTTCAGCTTCCCATTAGTCATAGAGCAGTTGTAGAGAGAGAGGAGAGTTTATGTGGGGGCCGACGCCCGCCTCCCCGCTCCCTGTGAGCGGGCGGGGCGCGACGTCCACCCCCTCCACTCCCCCCTCCTCCTCGTCGGCAGCCCCTCGCCGGACTCCCGCCGATCGGGTGATCGCCCCCCCCCCCCCCGCGCCAGCGTCCTCTCTGAGGGACATGGCTGATTTGCTGGCTCACCACTGCCCAGGGTTATCCTGCACACGCCCACGTACACCACCACAAAAGCAAACGCGGAGGCGTGCAGGCGCGCGCCCCTACAGGCGCTTATTTCCCACAAACGCGCTCGAGCGTTGGCGAGCGGTTTTAATTTTACACCTCACTCGCGTGCGTCCCTGCAGGCGCTTGCTTCACACAAAGGCGAGCGCTAACCAAAAAGAAACGGCGGCAGTATGAATATGTGCGCGTACCCCCCTCCCCACCCTCCCCCCCCCCCCCCGGGTGGTTAGCCCTAATCCTCTGCACACCGAGGCTAGCGTTGAAGGGCTGCGCGAATTTGCGCGTGCCTCTGCCGTTAATGCCATTGCCGCTGTGTAAACGCGCGAGCGCCGTCGAGCGGGTTCATCGCACCCCGCCCCCGCCCTAATTATTCACGCGGCACACTGCAGGCGCTCGTTTTTCACTCGCGCGTGAGTAAACACGCGCGAGTGTCGGCGGCCGTGTATGTTTTAATACACGCGCGCCTCACACACACGCTCAAATTACCAACACCGCACTGAGGTTCCACCTACACACACAAATCACACTGCGCCAACACTCTGTACTAAAGTTTATTACCGAGGCAAATATACCCTACCTGGGGCGGGGGATATTTCACGAAAAGAGCTTCGCCTAACTCTGCCTACGTACCCAGTCACTCACACGTCCTACAACGTACCTCGAAGCTGGACTCACGGCGTCCCATGGACGCTGAGAGAGTCAGAGGGAGGAGGACGAGAGAAGACTTGACATATCACTGCCTCGCAGCAGCACTCGCTGGCATCACACGAATGCTGTGAGCGGCTTGAGGAGGTAGGACGGCAGGGAGTGGGTCTTGACGGCCCGGAGGTTGAAGACAAGAGACCCAAAATCGTCCCCGGCTCCTCTTTTCATTCTCTAAACTTCAAAGGCCCAGGGTGACATCATACCATGCAGCCAATTGTGCGCTTACCTGTGGTTACCTCCCCCCCGCCCCTGTTACCGGCGGGCGGGGCGGCCACCCATTGTCCCTTGCTCAGGGATCCTTCCTCCATTCTCCCCCCCCCCCCGAGTTGTTCCTCATTGCGGTTGGCCCAGTGAACCTTTTTTTTCTGGGCCCATAAAATTTTAAACCAATTTTAGGGGCACCGCAATGTAACCTGCCCTGCGAGGGTCGGCCAATCTCCTGGCACCGGGAAACCATGGGACTCTCCCTCTAGGGGCCCTTCGGATGAAAACCCAATGTGCCAGGCAATCCCCTGCCAGGGCACTACGTGGGTGCGCTGTGTGCGGGTGTGTGTTTAGTGCAGGGGCCAGGAGGGAATTGCGGCGATTGCGGAGTTGCTCCACGGTCGTAGCACCACATTTCCCATACCTGGACAGGGTGCTTATGAACTGCTCTTGTTTGACAGCAGAGGTCACACTCCGAATCAGTCGGGAGGCATTATCTTTTCATCGGCTGCGTAATGGTGTGTGGAAGCTACCTGGCGTGTTGCTCTGCCCTCCCTTCTCTATGCTTGTGAAAAGTGGACCCCTCTAATGGAACATCTGCGCCCGTTATAAAGATTCAGGTTGGCCTATCTACGATTCATCCTGGGTTTGACCTGCAGGCTGGATTGTATGAGGAGCTCACAAATCCTTGAACACATTCCCATCAGTGAGCTCCTCTGGGAGGCAATGCTGCATTGGCTGGGTCATGTAGCCCGCATGCCCAGCCACCGCATGCCCAAGCAGCTAAACGGGCACCACATGAGCTGGAGAAGAGATGGAGTGATGTGGTACAGGAGGACGTGGAGCTGAGTGGACTTGCCAATGACTGGTACCAGCAGTGTCAAGATTGGCCTCTATGGAGGTGGCTCGGGAAGGACGCTGCTACTGGTCAGCTGGAGGCAGTCTCCCTACAACAACAACTGAGGGCACAGGAGTGACGCTCACAACAACGAGCTGAGCACCGAGTGGCTAAAATCCAGCAAGTTGGCATAGTAGGGGGTACAGCTGATGCATCTACCAGTCATCTCCGTCAGCCAACCCATGGAACCTGGGTCTGTCCCGTAACCTGCTGTCAAAGACCCTTCGACACTTCACGTGGCCTTAAAGTGCACCTGGCCTGGCACAAGCGCCGTGGTGACGTCACAGTCACTTCGTGGCAAATGGCGCGTATTGGTATTGTGGTGGTGGTGGTGGTAGTGATGGTTGTGATGGTGGTGGTGATGGTTGTGGTGGTTGTGATGGTTGTTCTGGCGGTGATGGTTGTGATGGTGGTAGTGATGGTGGTGATGGTGATGGTTGTTCTGGCGGTGATGGTTGTGATGGTGGTGATGGTTGTGATGGTGGTGGTAGTGATGGTTGTGATGGTGATGGTTGTGATGGTGATGGTTGTTCTGGCGGTGATGGTTGTGGTTGTAGGCGGACCGCATGGCCGCGGGGCTGCTGGCCCTGGGCGTGACGCGTGGCGACCGCCTGGGGATCTGGGGCCCCAACTCGGCCGAGTGGGCGCTCACCGCGCTGGCCGCAGCGCGCGCCGGCATCGTGCTGGTACAGCGGCCACAACCACCACCACCACTATAGCCACAACCACCACCACTATAGCCACAACTACCACCACTATAGCCACAACTACCACCACTATAGCCAGAACCACCACCACTATAGCCACAACCACCACCACTATAGCAACAACCACCACCACCACTATAGCCACAACCACCACCACTATAGCCACAACCACCACCACTATAGCCACAACCACCACCACTATAGCCACAAGCACCACCACTATAGCCACAACCACCACCATTATAGCCACAACCACCACCACTATAGCCACTATAGCCACCACTATAGCCACCACTGCCACCATTATAGCCACAACCACCACCACTAGAGCCACAACCACCACCACTATAGCCACAACCACCACCACTATAGCCACAACCACCACCACTATAACCACCACCACTATAGCCACAACTGCCACCACTATAGCCACTATAGCCACAACCACCACCACCACTACAGCCACAACCACCACCACTGAAGCCACAACCTCCACCACTATAGCCAAAACCACCACCACTATAGCCACTACAGCCACTACAACCACAACCACTACAGCCACAACCACCACCACTATAGCCACTACAGCCACAACCACCACCACTATAACCACCACCACTATAGCCACAACTGCCACCACTATAGCCACAATCACCACCACCACTACAGCCACAACCACCACCACTATAGCCACTATAGCCACAACCACCACCACTACAGCCACAACCACCACCACTATAGCCACTATAGCCACCACTATAGCCACCACTGCCACCACTATAGCCACAACCACCACCACTAGAGCCACAACCACCACCACTATAGCCACAACCACCACCACTATAGCCACAACCACCACCACTATAGCCACAACCACCACCACTATAGCCACTACAGCCACAACCACCACCACTATAGCCACAACCACCACCACTATATCCACAACCACCACCACTATAGCCACAACCACCATCATTATAGCCACAACCACCACCACTATAGCCACAACCACCACCACCACTATAGCCACAACCACCACCACTATAGCCACAACCACCACCACTATAGCAACAACCACCACCACTATAGCCACAACCACCACCACTATAGCCACAATCACCACCACTATAACCACAACCACCACTACTATAACCACAACCACCACCACTACTATAACCACTACAGCCACAACCACCACCACTATAGCCACAACCACCACCACCACTATAGCCACAACCACCACCACTATATCCACAACCACCACCACTATAGCCACAACTACCACCACTATAGCCACTACAGCCACAACCACCACCACTATAGCCACAACCACCACCACTATTTTAACCACAACAGCCACAACTACCACCACTATAGCCACAACCACCACCACTATAACCACAACCACCACCACTATTATAACTACTACAGCCGCAACTACCACCACTACAGCCACAACCACCACCACTATAGCCACTACAGCCACAACCACCACCACCACCACCATAGCCACAACCACCACCACTATAGCCACAACTACCACCACTATAGCCACTACAACCACAACCACTACAGCCACAACCACCACCACTATAACCACAACCACCACCACTATTATAACTACTACAGCCGCAACTACCACCACTACAGCCACAACCACCACCACTATAGCCACTACAGCCACAACCACCACCACCACTATAGCCACAACCACCACCACTATAGCCACAACTACCACCACTATAGCCACTACAACCACAACCACTACAGCCACAACTACCACCACTATAGCCACAACTGCCACCACTATAGCCACAACCACCACTACAGCCACAACCACCACCACTATAGCCACTATAGCCACAACCACCACCACCACTATAGCCACAACCACCACCACTATAGCCACAACTACCACCACTATAGCCACAACCACCACCACTGAAGCCACATACTCCACCACTATAGCCAAAACCACCACCACTATAGCCACAAATACCACCACTATAGCCACAACCACCACCACCACTATAGCCACAACCACCACCACTATAGCCAAAACCTCCACCACTATAGCCAAAAGCACCACCACTATAGCCACAACCACCACCACTATAGCCACTATAGCCACAACCACCACCAATATAGCCACAACCACCACCACTATAGACACAACCACCACTACTATAACCACTACAGCCACAACCACCACCACTATAACCACTACAGCCACAACCACCACCACTATAGCCACTACAGCCACAACCACCACCACTATAGCTACAACCACCACCACTATAGACACTACTGCCACAACCACCACCACTGTAACCACCACAACAAAAGCGATAACCACCACAACCACTATAACCACAACAACCACAATCACCACAACAACAACCATCACCACTATAACCTCAACCAGCACAAAAACAACCACCACGACAACAACCACCACCACTGTAACCATCACAACAAGCACAACCACTAAGACCACCACAACCACCACCACTCTAACCACCGTGGTGCTGCTGTCCGTGCTGCAGGTGAACATCAACCCGGCATACCAACCCCAGGAGCTGGAGTTCGCCCTCAAGAAGGTGATGGTGGCGGTTGTGGTGGTGGTGATGGTGGTGGTAGTTTTGGTACGGATGTGGGTGGTAGTGTTGATGAAGGTGGTGGTGGTGGTGGTGATAAGGTGGTGGTGATGGTGGTGGAGTTGGTGAGGGTGGTAATGGTGATGGGGTTGGTGATGGTGGTGGTGGTGATGATAGTGGTGGTGATGGTGGTAGTGGTGGTGATGGTGGTAGTGGTGATGGTGGTGATTGTGGTGGTGATTGTGGTGATGATGGTGGTGTTGATGGTGGTGTTGATGATGGTAGTGGTGATGGTGATAAGGTGGTGGTGATGGTGGTGATTGTGGTGGTGATTGTGGTGGCGATTGTGGTGGTGGTGATGGTGGTGATTGTGGTGGTGATGGTGGTGATTGTGGTGGTGGTAATGGTGGTGAATTTTGTGGTGATTGTGGTGGTGGTGGTAATGGTGGCGGTGGTGATTGTGGTGGTGGTGATTGTGGTGGCGATTGTGGTGATGGTGGTGGTGATTGTGGTGATTGTGGTGGTGATTGTGGTGGTGGTGGTGGTGGTGATGTGCAGGTTGGCTGCAAGGGGATCGTCTCTGCGGTGGAGTTTAAAGGTCGCAACTACCTCGACCTCTTGACTCAGCTCTGCCCCGAGCTGCCCTCCAGCTGCCCTGGAGACCTCCACTCTGCCCGGTCACCCACCCACTCACCCACCCACTCACCCACGCAGGCAAACACACACTGACTCACTCACTCACCCACCCATCCACTCACCTACCCACTCACCCACACAGGCAAACGCACACTGACTCAATCACTCACCCACCCACACAGGCAAACACACACTGACTCACTCACTCACCCACCCAAACCGGCAAACACACACTGACTCACTCACTCACCCACCCATCCATCCACTCACTCACTCATCCACCCATCTACTCACTCACCCACACAGGCAAACACACATTGACTCACTCACCCACTCACCCACCCATTCACTCACTCACCCACTCACTCACCAATTGACTCACCCACTGACTCACCCACTCACTCATTAACTGACTCACCCACCTACTCACTCACCAACTGACTCACCCACCGACTCACTCACCCACACAATCAACCACCCACTGACTCACTCACTCACCCACTCCCCCACACACCCACTCCCCCACCAACCCACCCAACCACTCACCCACTTACTCACCCACCCACCCACTCAACCAGTCACTTACTCACGCACTCACCCACCCAACCACTCACCCACCCACTCACTCCCCCACCCCTCACTCACTCCCCCCCCCCACCCACTCACTCCCCCACACACCCACCCACTCCCCCACCCAACCACTCACCCACTTACCCATCCACCCACCCAGTCACCCACCCATCCACTCACTCCCCCATCCACCCACCCACTCACCTACCCAACCACTCACCCACTCACCCACCCACCCACTCACTCCCCCACCCACTCACCCACTCCCCCACCCACCCACCCACTCCCCCACCCACCCACCCACTCCCCCACCCACCCACTCCCCCACCCAACCACTCACCCACCCACTCACCCAGACAAGCAAACACACACTGACTCACTCACCCACCCACACAGGCAAACACACACTGACTCACTCACCCACCCATCCATCCACTCACTCACTCATCCACCCATCTACTCACTCACCCACACAGGCAAACACACACTGACTCACTCACTCACCCACCCACCCATCCACCCACTCACCCACCCATTCACTCACTCACCCACTCACTCACCAATTGACTCACCCACTGACTCACCCACTCAATCATTAACTGACTCACCCACCTACTCACTCACCAACTGACTCACCCACCGACTCACTCACCCACACAATCAACCACCCACTGACTCACTCACTCACCCACTCCCCCACCCACACACCCACTCCCCCACCAACCCACCCAACCACTCACCCACTCAACCAGTCACTTACTCACGCACTCACCCACCCAACCACTCACCCACCCACTCACTCCCCCACCCCTCACTCACTCCCCCACCCACCCACCCACTCACTCCCCCACACATCCACCCACTCCCCCACCAACCATCTCACTCTACCACCCACCCACTCACTCCCCCACCCACCCACTCCCCCACTCACCCACCCACCCACTCACCCACCTACCCACTCCCCCACCCACCCACTCCCCCACCCACTCACTCACCCACTCACTCACCCACCCACTCACTCCCCCACCCACCCACTCCCCCACCCACCCACTCACTCCCCCACCCACTCACTCCCCCACCCACCCACTCACTCCCCCACCCACCCACCTCACCCACACACCCGCTCACTCCCCCACCCAACCACCCACTCCCCCACCCAACCACTCCCCCACCCACTCACTCCCCCACCCACTCACTCACCCACCCACTCACTCCCCCACCCACCCACTCCCCCACCCAATCACTCCCCCATCCACTCACTCCCCCACTCACTCACCCACCCACCCCGGCAGGCTCCCTGATCTCCGGGTGGTCATCTCGCTGGTGGAGGGGGAGCCGAATCCCGGGGCTCTGTCCTTGCGTGAGGTCGAAGGCCGCGCCACCCCGGGCCTGGAGGCAGAGCGCCACGCGATCCACTCGGCGCTGTCGTGCGACGATCCCATCAACATCCAGTACACCTCGGTACAAAGACGACGATCCCATCAACATCCAGTACACCTCGGTACAAAGACGACGATCCCATCAACATCCAGTACACCTCGGTACAGAGATCCCCCGGGTAGCCTCAGCAGGGCTGTGGGGGCAAGTGCTGTAAGTAGGGAGTAGCAGCACCTATTATTCACGCATAGACAAAGCTCCCCCAGGTAGCCTCAGCAGGGCTGTGGGGACAAGTGAGGTGAGCAGTAGGGAGTATCAACACCTATCATGTACACACAGACAAAGATCCACCAGGTAGCCTCTGGCAGGGCTGTAGGGGCAAGTGCTGTTAATAGGGAGTATCAACACCTATGATATACACACAAAGCTCCCCCACGTAGCCTCAGCAGGGCTGTGGGGGCAAGTGCTGTTAGTGGTAGCGAGTATCAACACCTATGATATACACACAGACAAATATCCACCAGGTAGCCTCTAGCAGGGCTGTAGGGGCAAGTTCTGTTAATAGGAAGTAGCAGCACCTATGATATACACACAAATATCCACCAGGTAGCCTCAGCAGGGCTGTGGGGGCAAGTGCTGTTAGTGGTAGCGAGTAGCAGCACCTATGATATACACACACAGACAAAAATCCTCCAGGTAGCCTCTAGCGGTCTATAGTCCCAGCGGTAGCAACTCAACGCAGCAACACCCCTCCCGGCTTGCTCTCTCACCGCAGTTAGATTTGAGCGTTTAATGTAATTTATTGTCGTTGACATTTTTTTGTTAAATACATTTTTCACCAGAATGTCTATCAAACCTCCGACCATTATCAATGATAGACAAACAGTATTGGACATCGGGAAGAAGGAGAGCTTGCTTGCCCAATGCAGCCTGCCCTGAGATGACCCTTTATTTACCAGACAACAACGTCAGACGAGACGGGGAGGAAGAGTCGCCGTTCAGACGAGGAATATAAAACATCCTCACTGTACTGCAATGCCGAGCATATTCTCGTGCAACGCACAGTCCCTCGTTAACAAGTTGGATGATGTACGGGCCGGGATCGAATTCCAACGGGAAACACGAGAATCTAAATGTTCTGTGTTTCACGGAAAGCTGGCTGAATGGAATTATCCCGGACGCAGCCATCGGGCTAAAAGGCTTCTCTCCTTTTCACCACGATTGGACTTTGGACAGTGGGGGAACAATAGGTGTCGGATTGTGTGCGATGATCAACTCATCTTGGTGTGTTCTAGATTTGAAGCTTTCGTGACTGCAAGGATTCATACTCTTCGGTTTTTTCGGTAAAGTCACGTAGGTAAAATAAAACTAAATTAAATCACGACGTTTCGGAGGCAACACAAGCTTCCGTCTTCAGGTGGAACAGATACAGCAAAATTCGCTGTATCCTCAAGTGAACAGCTCTGGAATACCCGAGATTATATACAGGTTAAGGGGGGGAGGGGAGGGCTAAGTTAAGCTGCCTTTTGTTATGCTGCAGGGGGTTCGGGGGGAGGGCGATGGCGTGCTGTACGAGCGCAGGCACCATCCTGGTATAAACGGAAACGGCTGTACAATTATAAGCCAGCTAACGTTTGACTTGGTTGATGACATCTTTCCAAAAGTTGCTCAATTTGAAACCATCCTCTCGGTTGAAGTTGTGTCTATGTTTGTATATTTGGATGGCTTCATGGACAAATCTTTGGTAATAACCGGGAGGTTTGCATAGTACTTTGGTATCAGAGAAAATAATGTCATGATAACCTGATGTGTTGAAACAATGATCAGCCACGGCCGAAGAATTCGTTCTACCGTGTTTCAAATCTGATTCGTGCTCGCGAATTCGGTCAGAAATATGTCGTTTCATCTCCCCGATATAGCAGTCACCACAGATACAACTCAATTTGTAAACACCGGGGTACTGTAAGTAAGGAATGACATCCTTTACGGATGGGATCAGATCACGGATTTTGTGTACTGTATTGAACCGGACCTGGATCTTGTGTTTGTTTAGAATTTTGGAAATCTTTTTGGTAACGCCTGCTTGAGGAACGGACCGTACCATTCGCCAAGCTGTTTCTCCCACCATACAGAAACAACCACCTGATACTCCGATCAAAACCATCACACTGCCATACATAGCAGGCATTACCAAAAAGATTTCCAAAATTCGAAACAAACACAAGACCCAGGTCCGGTTCAATACAGTACACAAAATCCGTGATCTGATCCCATCCGTAAAGGATGTCATTCCTTACTTACAGTACCCCGGTGTTTACAAATTGAGTTGTACCTATGGTGACTGCTATATCGGGGAGACGAAACGACATATTTCTGACCGAATTCGCGAGCACAAATCAGATTTGAAACACGGTAGAACGAATTCTTCGGCCGTGGCTGATAATTGTTTCAACACAACAGGTTATTATGACATTGTGTTCTCTGATACCAAAGTATTATGCAAACCTCCCGGTTATTACCAAAGATTTGTCCATGAAGCCATGCAAATATACAAACATAGACACAACTTCAACCGAGAGGATGGTTTCAAATTGAGCAACTTTTGGAAAGATGTCATCAACCAAGTCAAACGTTAGCTGGCTTATAATTGTACAGCCGTTTCCGTTTATACCAGGATGGTGCCTGCGCTCGTGCAGCACGCCATCGCCCTCCCCCCGAACCCCCTGCAGCATAACAAAAGGCAGCTTAACTTAGCCCTCCCCTCCCCACCCACGTCCCTTCCTGGCTCCTCCCCCCCCCCCCTTAACCTGTATATAATCTCGGGTATCCAGAGCTGTTCACTTGAGGATACAGCGAATTTTGCTGTCTGTTCCACCTGAAGACGGAAGCTTGTGTTGCCTCCGAAACGTCGTGATTTAATTTAGTTTTATTTTATTTTACCTACGTGACTTTACCGAAAAAACCAAAGAGTATCATCTTGGTGTAACATGTTCACCAGTTGTAGAGTTTGTGATCCTATCATGCCGCCCTCATCACCTCCCGAGATAATTTCACGCGATTGTTTCAGTCGCTGTGTACGTCCCTCCGAGCGCCAACTCCACGCCGGCTATGGACCTATTCCACAAAACAATCTCTGCACTGGAAACCAAACATCCGGACGCTGCTGCGATTGTAATTGGGGACTTTAACGAAGCGAACCTTAGGAGTGCACTCCCAAAGTTTTATCGAATGTGAAATGCAACTCCAGAAGAGACGCCATCTTGGATCACTGTTATTCAATGCTGAAAGACGCCTACAAGGCGTTCCCCCACCCACTGCCCGTAAAATCCGACCAAAATGTCATCTTGCTGCAGCCAAAGTACTGCCATCTCTTAAAGAGGACAGGCTCCCACTACAAGAGTAGTCCAATGCTGGTCAGAAAAAGCAGGGACAGACTCACGGATGTCCTGGAGGATACAGACTGGGACATATTTATGGATGCAGCCTACAACAGAGTGGAGGAATTTGCATCGACAGTGCTAGGTCATATTATGTTCTGCATGGACGTTGCTGTGCCAACCAAGACTGTCCGTTCTTACCCAAATAACAAGCCCTGGGTTAAAAACGCGGCAGTCAAAGCAACACTGAAGGACCAACACAAAGCATGCAAATCCAGATACCCCGATGAAAGCAGGAGGACCCAAATATGCCGTCTGAAAATCCATCAAGGCGAGCAAAAGACAATTCAGGGACAGGTTGGAGGCCCTGTACCACGACTCCAACTCAAGAAGCCTGTGGCGCGGATCACAGGCCATCACAAACTACAAAGGGACAATAAGCTGCGAGGCAATCAACAACCTCCCTTCCTGACGCTATTGCTATTACATTGCATAAGGTACTGTCCCACCTGGAGGTGAAGCAGGGTAATTATGTGAGAATGCTGTTCATCAATTACAGCTCAGCATTCAATACTATAGTGCCCTCCATCCTAATCTCCAAACTGGAGGCCTTAGGGGCCGTCCATAAATGACGTCACGCACCTGGGGGGGGGGGGGGGTCAGACATTTGTGACGATGTGTGACAATGGGGGGGGAGGGTTGAGAAATGTGACGTCATCTCAAAATTCGCAACTTTAAATAAATATAGACAACACGTTCCACTTAATTAAATGGACTTTTTAATAAATGTTTTCTCCTACAACATCAGAGTGCAGCGCCACATTAAATACGCACTACAATGACAATAGTTTAAAGCGATTCGAAGCATGTTTTATTTTTTTGAGGGGGGGGGCAGAGCTTTGTGACGTCATATTTGAGGGGGGGTCTGACTTTTTGTGACGCCGTGTGACGAAGGGGGGGGGGGGGTAAAAAATCGCGAAGCTGAGCAGAGCCTCACGCAATATCTGCCCAAGCCCCACCAACCCTGATTTTGCTCCCCCTACCCCCATTCACCCCCCCCCCCCCATCCACTGCACTAAACAGGAACATTTTGCATAACAAGATCATTTATAAAGCTCACCCACAGGGGACCCTATTTCTGCCATGGATATGTCACTTTTATCATGTGCACAGCGATTTTACTTAGATTTTAATACATTTTTATATATTCTAAAATAGTGTTGCTGCTGTTTACAATGTTGTTTTTCATTTTCTTAAAGCTGAGAGAGACACGGGAACAAAGAATCTCACTGCCATGTACCTCATGTATGCATGCGTATGTGATCAATAAAGCTGACTTAATGACTTACTGGGGGAAAGTGCTGTTAGTAGTAGCGAGTAGCAGCACCTATGATATACACACGGACAAAGATCCCCCAGGTAGCCTCTAGCAGGGATGTAGGGGCAAGTGCTGCTAGTAGCGAGTAGCAGCACCTATGATATACACACAGACAAATCTCCCCCATGTAGCCTTAACAGGCTGTTGGGGGAAAGTGCTGTGAGCGAGCACTGTGGCACACACAGAGGGGGTGGGTGGCCAGCACCGCGCCCGGCCGCTTTTGTCTCTCTATGGGTGCCACAGTGGTGAGATGTTAACTACCTCCCCTGGTATAAGGAGGTCGTGGGTTCGATCCTGACCCTGACGATGCCTGCTGCTGTATATTTAGAATTTGCGTGCCTCTTTCCCCCTGGATTATTCTCAGGGTCCTCCGGTTTTTACCTCCACATTTAGCATCAACATCACGCAAGTAGAGTATTTAATTTACGACACACTGCACCAGGTACTCATTTGAGGCCGAGTCGACCTAGGGGAGGCCCAGGACCAATTTAGATTTTCCTCACCGGCATTGGCCGTGAGCAGAAATCGAACTCGGGTCGGCAGGTTCATAGTGCAGCAGATGGACCGCTTCACTACCACTCCTCGTGTATGACCACCACCAGCACCACCATCATCACCACCACCACCACCGTCATCACCACCACCACCACCATCATCATCACCACCACCACCATCATCATCACCATCATCATCACCACCAGCACCACCGTCATCACCACCACCACCGTCATCACCACCATCATCACCACCACCACCGTCATCACCACCACCACCACCACCATCATCATCACCACCACCATCATCATCACCACCACCATCATCACCACCACCACCGTCATCACCACCACCACCATCACCAACACCACCACCATCATCACCACCACCACCGTCATCACCACCACCACCATCATCACCACCACCACCATCATCACCACCAGCACCACTATCATCACCACCAGCACCACCACCAGCACCACCATCATCATTACCACCACCATCATCACCACCACCATCATCATCACCACCACCACCACCATCATCACCACCAGCACCACTATCATCACCACCAGCACCACCATCACCACCACCATCATCATCACCACCACCATCATCACCACCAGCACCACCATCATCACCACCACCACCATCATCACCACCACCACCGTCATCACCACCACCACCATCACCAACACCACCACCATCATCATTACCACCACCACCATCATCATCACCACCACCATCATCACCACCAGCACCACCATCATCACCACCACCACCGTCATCACCACCACCACCACCATCATCATCACCACCACCATCATCACCACCAGCACCACCATCATCACCACCACCACCATCATCACCACCACCACCATCATCATCACCACCACCACCATCATCACCACCACCACCACCATCATCACCACCAGCACCACTATCATCACCACCAGCACCACCATCATCACCACCATCACCACCACCAGCACCACCATCATCATTACCACCACCATCATCACCACCACCATCATCACCACCATCACCACCACCATCACCACCACCAGCACCACCATCATCATCACCACCACCATCATCATCACCACCACCATCATCACCACCACCACCATCATCATCACCACCACCATCATCACCACCAGCACCACCATCATCACCACCACCACCATCATCACCACCACCACCGTCATCACCACCACCACCATCACCAACACCACCACCATCATCATTACCACCACCACCATCATCATCACCACCACCATCATCACCACCAGCACCACCATCATCACCACCACCACCGTCATCACCACCACCACCACCATCATCATCACCACCACCATCATCACCACCAGCACCACCATCATCACCACCACCACCATCATCACCACCACCACCATCATCATCACCACCACCACCATCATCACCACCACCACCACCATCATCACCACCAGCACCACTATCATCACCACCAGCACCACCATCATCACCACCATCACCACCACCAGCACCACCATCATCATTACCACCACCATCATCACCACCACCATCATCACCACCATCACCACCACCATCATCACCACCACCATCATCATCATCACCACCACCATTATCAACACCACCACCACCATCATCACAAACACCACCATCATCACCACCAGCACCACCATCATCACCACCACCACCATCATCATCACCATCATCATCACCACCAGCACCATCATCATCACCAGCACCACCATCATCATCACCATCACCACCACCACTAGCACCACCACCATCATCACCACCACCACCATCATCATCATCACCACTACCATCATCACCATTACTATCATCACCACCACCACCATCATCACCACCACCACCATCATCACCACCACCATCATCACCACCACCATGATCACCACCACCATCATCATCACCACCACCACCACCATCATCACCACCACCACCACCACCATCATCATCACCGCCACCACCATCATCACCACCACCACCATCACCACCACCATCATCACCAGCACCACTACCACCATCAACTCCACCACCACCATCACCACCATCAACCCCACCACCACCATCACCACTATCACCACCATCAACGCCACCACCACCATCACCACCATCAATCCCACCACCATCACCACCATCAACCCCACCACCACCACCACCAGTGTTGTATGAGCGCAGCAGCAGCAACGCTGACAAAGACAAAGGTGCCCCACGTAGCACACGTAGCAGGCTGTCATTGGGCCAAGTGCAGGTTAATGCCTCTCCCCTCCCACTCCCCGTATCGTCCCCCCCCCCTCCCCCCCCAGGGAACCACGGGGCAGCCAAAGGGAGCGACGCTCACGCACCACAACATCCTCAACAACGCCCACCTCCTGGGGGAGCGCATGGGCTACCACTGGAGGGTGAGCCCGGCGTGGTGCCTGTAGTGGCGGTCGTGGTGGTTATAGTAGTGGCGGTGGTGGTGGTAGTTGTGGTGGTTCTAGTGGTGGTTCTAGTGGTGGTGGTTCTAGTGGTGGTGGTTTTAGTGGTGGTGGTAGTTATTGTCGTGGTGGTTATTGTCGTGGTGGTGGTGGTGGTGGTTCTAGTGGTGGTGGTTCTAGTGGTGGTGGTTCTTGTGGTGGTGGTTATTGTCATGGTGGTTATAGTAGTGGCGGTGGTGGTAGTTGTGGTGGTTCTAGTGGTGGTGGTTCTAGTGGTGGTGGTTCTAGTGGTGGCGGTTATTGTCGTGGTGGTTATTGTCGTGGTGGTTCTAGTGGTGGTGGTTCTAGTGGTGGTGGTGGTAGTTGTGGTGGTTCTAGTGGTGGTGGTTCTAGTGGTGGTGGTTATTGTCGTGGTGGTTATTGTCGTGGTGGTTATTGTCGTGGTGTTGGTGGTTCTAGTTGTGGTGGTTCTAGTGGTGGTGGTTCTAGTGGTGGTGGTTATAGTAGTGGCGGTGGTGGTAGTTGTGGTGGTTCTAGTGGTGGTTCTAGTGGTGGTGGTTATTGTCGTGGTGGTGGTGGTGGTGGTTCTAGTGGTGGTGGTTATTGTCGTGGTGGTTATTGTCGTGGTGGTTATTGTCGTGGTGTTGGTGGTTCTAGTGGTGGTGGTTCTAGTGGTGGTGGTTCTTGTGGTGGTGGTTCTAGTGGTGGTGGTTATTGTCGTGGTGGTTATTGTCGTGGTGTTGGTGGTTCTAGTGGTGGTGGTTCTAGTGGTGGTGGTTCTTGTGGTGGTGGTTCTAGTGGTGGTGGTTATTGTCGTGGTGGTTATTGTCGTGGTGGTTATTGTCGTGGTGTTGGTGGTTCTAGTGGTGGTGGTTCTAGTGGTGGTGGTTCTTGTGGTGGTGGTTCTTGTGGTGGTGGTTATTGTCGTGGTGGTTATAGTAGTGGCGGTGGTAGTTGTGGTGGTTCTAATGGTGGTGGTTCTAGTGGTGGTAGTTCTAGTGGTGGTGGTTATTGTCGTGGTGGTTATTGTCGTGGTGGTTATTGTTGTGGTGGTTATTGTCGTGGTGGTGGTTCTAGTGGTGGTGGTTCTAGTGGTGGTGGTTCTAGTGGTGGTGGTGGTAGTTGTGGTGGTTCTAGTGGTGGTTCTAGTGGTGGTGGTTATTGTCGTGGTGGTTATTGTCGTGGTGGTGGTTCTAGTGTTGGTGGTTCTAGTGGTGGTGGTTCTAGTGGTGGTGGTGGTAGTTGTGGTGGTTCTAGTGGTGGTTCTTGTGGTGGTGGTTATTGTCGTGGTGGTTATAGTCGTGGCGGTGGTGGTGGTTCTGGTGGTGGTAACTGTGGTGGTTCTGGTGTTTAGAGTGGTTGTGGTGGTTATAGTGGTGGTGGTCCGCAGGTCTGAATTTAATATTTGTGAGGTCTTGGGGGAGGGGATTTCCTTCAGCCCAGACAACATAATGGGGTAAGGTGGGGACAATCCTGCTGGGGCTTCGGTGCCTCAAATAATTTTTGCATCGCCCCTGTGAGTGGCTGGCTGAGGTGCCATCTGTTGAGGAAGCACGAGGGGCAATCCGGAGCCTGAGACCAGGAAAAGCGCCGGGCAGAGATGATCCCCCAAGCGAAATGCTGAGGGAGGGGGCGTCTATGTGCAGACTGCCCTACGTGACCATAAGAAGGCTGGCGCACTATGTGTGCGTGCTGTATGTGTAGTGACATCGGGGATGCCACTGGGGGAGCGGGAGAGTGTCAGCCCAAGGGCTCGGTTACCCCGGGCCATGGCACTCTGGTTGACCACGTAGACACGTGACCTGGAGCGTCCACAGAGAGCGCCCCAGGTGGTGGGGGCTAGGGGGTGATCACGTGTCCGGGGAGAGCTCTGGAGAGGGATCGAGAGGGAGCTAGAACGCTCGCGAAGGTGGGCGGGGCCGAGGGCGGAGTGGCTCTGACCTGGGAGGATATAAGGTGGGTCCCTGAAAGGGACCGGGGTAGCTGCATTCTACAAGCTGGAAGCTCCACGTCTACAAGCTGGAAGCTCTACGTCCTACGAGGCATCACCACGTGGCCGGGGACCCAAGTGAGGGTCCGACCCTTCGTAGCCGTAACTTCTATGTGTAGTGTAGTTAGCTGGGTGGTCACCACCCTAGGCTGTATCTGGTAAAGGGGCAGTGACCCCTTTGTGTTAACGTGTTGATGTTAAACAAATGTGTTGCCTCTAAAGAATAATTTCTGTGACTCAGTTGGACTCACATCATATGTATACCGTGCAGTGTGTGTACCTTGCTGTGTGTACCGTGCTGTGTGTGTACCGTGGTGTGTGTGTACCGTGCTATGTGTGTACCTTGCTGTGTATGTGTACCGTGCTGTGTGTGTGTACCGTGCTGGGTGTGTGTACCGTGCTGTGTGTGTGTACCGTGCTGTGTGTGTGTACCGTGCTGTGTGTGTGTACCGTGCTATGTGTGTACCTTGCTGTGTGTGTACCGTGCTGTGTAAGTGTACCGTGCTGTGTGTGTGTACCGTGCTGTGTGTGTGTACCGTGCTATGTGTGTACCTTGCTGTGTGTGTACCGTGCTGTGTGTGTGTACCGTGCTGTGTGTACCATGCTGTGTGTGTACCGTGCTGTATGCAGGACGTGCGCGTGGCGTTGCCCGTGCCACTCTACCATTGCTTCGGCCTCGTCGCCGGCCTCCTGAGCTGCGTGGCCCACTCAGGGACCCTGGTGCTGCCATCTGCAGCCTACAGCGCCAGGGCCACGCTTACCGCTATCCAAACTCACCGGTGAGGACACCACGCACTCACCACAACGCACTCACCACACACACTCACGACCACCATGGTGGTGGTGATGGTGGTCATAGTGGTGGTCATGATGGTAGTGATGGTGGTATTGATGGTGTTTGATGGTCATTCTGGTGGTGATGGTGATGAGTTCTCCTTTTGAGGTGTCACAATATTGCAAATAGTCTGATGATCTCTTCACGTCCCAAGGTTTCTCCCTTGCAGATCTTGACCTCATGAGTTGAAAAAATGTTGCCGCATTTCCCAATCCTCGTCAATGACTATCGTAGATTCATCTGCGACCAGAGCGCGTGTGATGATCCAGTTCATCGTGTGTCTCGGCAGAGTGGCAGGTAAGGGCGAGGCGCTTCTGATTGTTGCCAATTTCAAACCGGTTGAAAGGCGACTCGTTTCGGTAGCCGATCTTAAGTTGGTCGTCCACGCCGACGTAGGCATTGTGGGCCTGCCCTGTCCATGTACGTCCAACCAAAAAATCTACCGGTTGCGCGATGTCTGGGAACGACAAGGACGGTTCTCTTTGTTCCCCTGAACGTCATCAATTTCGATTTCCAAGTCAGCCTTTCCCAGTATGGTGGTTGCAGCCGACTCTGCGTTGCAGAAGCCAAATGCCATTGTGCCTGAATCTTCAATCCTCGGCCCGACAGCATAGAGCGGCAGTTGCCCGCTTCATACACACCCCCACTTCGTGGGTCAATCGTCGCTTCCAAACTGATACTATCGACCAGGGCTGGTTTGGTAAATTTCACTACATTTGGTGTGGGTTAACTCGTGGTGTTGACTTGCATAAGTACAGTGAGGGAAAAAAGTATTTGATCCCTGCTGATTTTGTACGTTTGCCCATTGACACAGAAACGATCAGTCTATAATTTTAATTGGTGGTTTATTTGAACAGAGAGAGACAGAATAACAACAAAAAAATCCTGAAAAACGCGTATAAAAAATGTTATAAATTGATTTGCATTTTAATGAGGGAAATAAGTATTTGACCCCTCTGCAAAACATGACTTAGTACTTGGTGGCAAAACCATTGTTGGCAATCACAGAGGTCAGACGCTTCTTGTAGTTGGTCACCAGGTTTGCACACATCTCAGGAGGGATTTTGTCCCACTCCTCTTTGCAGATCTTCTCCAAGTCATTAAGGTTTCGAGGCTGACGTTTGGCAACTCGAACCTTCAGCTCCCTCCACATATTTGCTATGGGATTAAGGTCTGGAGACTGGCTAGGCCACTCCAGGACCTTAATGTGCTTCTTATTGAGCCATTCCTTTATTGCCTTGGCCGTGTGTTTTGGGTCATTGTCATTTTGGAATACCCATCCACGACCCATTTTCAATGCCCTGGCTGAGGGAAGGAGGTTCTCACCCAAGATTTGACGGTACATTGCCCCGTCCATCGTCCCTTTGATGCGGTGAAGTTGTCCTGTCCCCTTAGCAGAAAAACACCCCCAAAACATGTTTCCACCTCCATGTTTGACGGTGGGGATGATGTTCTTAGGGTCATAGGCAGCATTCCTCCCCCAAACACGGCAAGTTGAGTTGATTCCAAAGAGCTCCATTTTGGTCTCATCTGACCACAACACTTTCACCCAGTTGTCCTCTGAATCATTCAGATGTTCATTGGCAAACTTCAGACGGGCATGTATATGTGCTTTCTTGAGCAGGGGGACCTTGTGGGTGCTGCAGGATTTCAGTCCTTCACAGCGTAGTGTGTTACCAATTGTTTTCTTGGTCACTATGGTCCCAGCTACCTTGAGATCATTGACAAGATCCTCCCGTGTAGTTCTGGGCTGATTCCTCACCTTTCTCATGATCATTGAAACTCCACGAGGTGAGATCTTGCATGGAGCCCCAGGCCAAGGGAGATTGACAGTTCATTTGTGTTTCTTCCATTTGCGAATAATCACACCAACTGTTGTCACCTTCTCACCAAGCTGCTTGGCAATGGTCTTGTAGCCCATTCCAGCCTTGTGTACGTCTACAATGTTGTCCCTGACATCCTTGGAGAGCTCTTTGGTCTTTGCCATGGTGGAGAGTTTGCAATTTGATTGATTGATTGCTTCTGTGGACAGGTGTCTTTTATACAGGTAACAAGCTGAGATTAGGAGCACCTGGGAGCCAGAAATCTTTCTGATTGAGAGGGGGTCAAATACTTATTTCCCTCATTAAAATGCAAATCAATTCATAACATTTTTGACATGCGTTTTCTGGATTTTTTTGTTGTTATTCTGTCTCTCACTGTTCAAATAAACCTACCATTAAAATTATAGACTGATCATTTCTTTGTCAGTGGGCAAACGTACAAAATCAGCAGGGGATCAAATACTTTTTTCCCTCACTGTAGCTTCAGAATGTCCACTTTGGTGTGACCGTTTCGGGGAAGGCCGAAGATCCATGTCCCTCCCACTTACAGATGCCACAAATGCGAGGTCTACGTGGCAATGGGGCAGTCGGCAAAATATGTGCCCAAGTTGGTTGCAGTTATAGCATCGGCGCCCCTCTGATGTTGCAACAGGCCTCTGTTGCTGGTGCACCCAGGTGTTGCTGTAGCACTTCATCTTCCCGGTGTTAAAATATTAAAACACCAAAGAGAAACCTTTTGCAAGGAATCAAGTCTGCATTAACCACACTGCTCACGTCAAGCTATGAATGCTCTGATACGTGTGTAGTGACTGACTCAGAGACACTAATAGTAAGAGGCACTCTGTGTATTAACACTGCCTGAGAGTTCGACGGTTCCCAGTCAGGACAGCTGACAGGCTGCCTGACTGGCGACGCCGAGATGGTGAAGACGGAGACGATGGTGAAGATTCCAGCAGCAGCATGACGGGGATCCCCACTCCAAACGACAGCCTCGAGGTCCCCTCCCGGAGCCCCTCTTATGCTGTCGGCGTGGCCTGGCTCCGCCTCCGCCCACGCCGCCTAATGTATCCTATTCGTGGGTTCTCAATGTGCCCCTTCCTTGACCCTTCCCCTAGATCCCTCTCTGGTCTATCACGTGGCCTGCTCTCAGTCAGGGCTGCTGTAAGCTACAGATCCCCTTCCCTACCAGCAGCCAGCGCCATGCTGCTCCGTGACCGGTTCTATGTCACTACACGCGCATTGTCCTTGTAGTGTTCGTCTTTTGGCATTCACTGGTCTGATACTGGTGAGACAAGGCCATAAAGAAAGCTGCTGCTGTCTCCCGTGTAGGACAATCAGTTTAAAAGACAATGCAAATGTAGTGGGTTCGAATTAGGTGCACACACACACAGCTTGGAGGCAACACTATTTATTAGAACGGTAAGTAAAATAACACTGTACATAAGGTGGTGACCACCTTCCTCAACTCACTAACACTCTGGAACACTACACAGCGTGACCCAGGCAGGCAACGGGCTGCCTGGTCCCAGACGATGACCCGGGACTTGAGGATCGATGATGTCGTCTTCACTTCGGGGTTGAACAGCCCCGCTCTGCCTTCACACCCCGCTTATAACCGCTCCGGCGTGGCCGGCTCCGCCCAGGCCACGCCTCCCTTCCCCCACCTCTGGGAAGGTCCGGGTCCTCCACCACGTGACCCCCCAGGCACCCCCTTGGGCCCCTAGCCCTCGTACGGGGCCGACACAGTAGTGACGTCCTATGTCACTACACATACATTATAATCAGACCAATCACCAAGGGCGGAGCCACAGGGGGGGGGGGGGGCTGGGGGGGGGCTCAACCCCCCCCTAAAATTTTGGGAAAGTCAGTAATCGGGATAACCGGATATCCGGCTGCTGCAAAATGCTGGCTGCCACCTCGTGCTGCCCTGCAGGCTGCTTGAGCGGCAGCCTTTCGAACTTATCGAACTTATTAGCCACATCAGCGGCTCCGACCTATTAATAAACTCCGCGTTCAAATCCAATAAAATTTGTTTTATACATTTGTGGCGCACATTGGAAAACATAAACACTGGGTATCTCAAAATATTGAAGTCAGCCCCCCCAAAGTCAAAATCCTGGTTCCGCCCGTGCCAATCACCAGTTGCTTTTTCTGTATCTGGGTACTCCAAATGCAAAAATGACGACAAATGGGAGTTGTCTACACGACGGGCAGCACTTGCCGCCCATAAAGCTGCCAAAGGCTACCTGCGGGGGTGATTGTCCTGTGCCTGTGTGCATGCAGCTGCACTGTGTTGTACGGCACGCCCACCATGTTCGTGGACATGCTGAACGATCCCGACTTCCACTCCTTCGACCTCTCCTCCCTGCAGACAGGTCAGTGCCAGGCTAGGTGCGGAGGAGGTCACGAGGACAGACCCGAGTGTCATGGGTTGACTGCTGTGCCAGGCTAGGTGCATGACAAGGTCACGGTAAAGACTCAGGTGCCATGGGTTGACTGCTGTGTCAGGCTAGGTGCAGGCAGTGGAGGTCATGGGACAGACCCAGCTGCCATGGGTTGTACTACTGCTGTACCAAGCTAGGTACATGAGAAGGTCACGGGACATACCCAGGTGTCATGGGTTCTGGGCCTCCTCTAGGTCGACTCAGCCTCAAATGAGTACCTGCCATGATGTGTAAACACCGCTACTGGGGAAACAAAGGCGGCTGGGCGTGGTGCTGGCCACCCACTCACTCGAGTGCCGTGCCGGCCTTCATAGGTGCTCCCTAACAGCACTTGCCCCAACATTATGTTAAGGTTATAAGGGGATCTTCGTCTTTTATACCTGTGTGTCTGTGTACCTGTGTGTGTACCAATGCGTTTGGGTATGTGTGTATAGGCGCTGCTGCTACTGCTGCTGCTCGCTAACAGCACTTGCCCCGACAGCCCTGTGTGATGCTAGCCAGAGGAGCTTTAGCTGTGCCTGTGTGTGTCCGCAGGGGTTGTGGCTGGTTCCCCGTGTCCCCCTGAGCTGTTCCGGCGGGTCGTGGACTCCATGAAGCTGCCCGACTTCGTGGTGAGTGACCAGTCGCACCACTCCGGGTGGCACAGAGGAAGATCCCTACTGCTTCAAATATCTCTGTGTGTGTTGAGTCTATGGGTCTCTGTATGAGTCTATGTCAGGGGTCGGGAACCTTTTTGACTAAGAGAGCCATGAAAGCAAAAAATTTGGAAATTTATTTCAGTGAGAGCCATATAATATATTTTAAAAGTGAATTCAACTAAATGTCAGTATAATAAGCCTCTGAATTTATTCTTTTAAATAATGTTGTTATAACACTCACCATTAATGCGACTTCTGGTGCTGCATGGATTTGCTGATGTCTTTGTAGTCGGGTTGGTACTTGGTGAGGTTAAGCTTCATGCAAGCGTTGAGGCTTTCATCCGTTAAACGTGATTGTAGGTTGGACTTGATGTTTTTAAGATGTGAGAATGACTGCTCACATGCATACGTAGATCCAAACATGGTCAATACAGCAATACTCACACGCTGCAGTGTGTGGTATGTGACAGGAAGCGCGTTCCAAGTTTTGAGAATCAGCTGGTCTTCGGGTTGGAGTTTTTTCATTTCTGTCCACATGTGCTTGCTCGCCAACTCCGCTTTCTGTCGTGTGAGTCTTTCCAAATCTTCATTCAGTGACTTGAACTTATTCACCCACATGTCTGAGGCCTTCAGGTCAGCCACTTCTGCTTCAAAATCTCTGACGGAGACACCAGGGATGTAATTCAGGTCGGCTGTGTTCAGTGAACACTCGTTTGGATGGGTGATGAACTTAAAAAGACGAGTGTGCTCACGAAATTCTCCAAAGCGTGCTTTGAAGGACTGTAGGAGACTGGATGTGCAGCCAGCTAGCTGGTGGAGATCAAGGTTTTGAATGGGCTCACTTGCTGTGCATGCATCTTTAAATTGGCTCAGTTTTTCAAAATGTAGTAAACGACCTGTTTCAAGATCCGTGATGAAAAGCTCCAGCTTGTTTTCAAAAGCAAATACAGCTTGTTGAAGGGATAACACTGTATTTCCAATGCCTTGCATTTTCACGTTGAGCTGGTTCAGATGTTCAGTCAGATCTACGAGATAGTAAAACTTGAGGAGCCACTCGGTGTCGGCTAGCTCAGGATGCCCGACGCCTTTCATTTCAAGAAAAGTCCGGATTTCGTTCAGGCAAGCCGCAAAACGGCTAAGCACCTTCCCTCTTGACAACCAACGCACATTGCTGTGCAAAAGCAGACCAGGATAGTTATTTACAACTTCATCCAGCAGTGTTTTAAACTGGCGATCATTTAAGGCTCGGGCAACAATAAAGTTGATCACACGAATGACCAGCGACATCACTTCGCCAAACTGCCTGTCACACATCTGAGCACAAAGTGCCTCCTGGTGTATAATGCAATGGAAACTTAGGATGGGTCTATTTTCATGTTCACGGAGAAGCGCCACAAATGCTTTGTTTTTCCCCACCATACACGGAGCACCATCAGTACACACTGAGAGAAGTTTATCCATAGGTAGACTTTTTTCTTGAGCAAACTCCATGAAAGACTTGAATAAATCCTCACCTCTTGTGGACCCTTTTAATGGCAGAACAGCAAGACTTTCTTCGCGCAGTGTGTCACCAACAGCATATCTTGCAATCACGCTGAACTGCGACAAATGGCTCACGTCTGTTGACTCATCCAAAGCCAGAGAAAAGAACGGCGCTGCATTTATGTCCTTCACTTGCGTTTCCTCCACTTTGTTTGCCATCACGATGGTACGATCATGAACAGTTCTTGCCGACAGAGGCATGTCTTGTATCCGTTTGATTATCTTGTCTTTGTTCGGAAGATCATCAAAAAGTTCATTGGCTACATCCAGCATGAACGTTTTAGCATACTCGCCATCTGTGAATGGTTTTCCGTTCCTCACTATTGCTAAAGAACCAGCAAAGCTAGCCGAATTATAGTCACCTTGCCGGGTCCATACGCGGAGTTGCTGCTGGCTAGCTTGCACCCTGCTCAGAAGCTCTTGGCACGCTTTCTTTCTGCTGTCTCCCGCAGGGTATTTTGATGCAAAGGTAGCGTGGCGCGTGTCGAAGTGCCGCTTTACATTCGACCGTTTCAACGATGTAATTTTGTCATTGCAAATTAGACACACCGCAGAACCCGCTCTCTCCACAAAGGCGAATTCTTCGGTCCATTCGTCCTGAAATGTACGATACTCGTCGTCTTTTTTTCTTTTCGCCATCTTCTTCGTCGAAGGGTTAGCTTTGAGCTAATGACCGAGCAGACGCAGTCTCAGACTGATTCAAAAGGGGGCGTTTACCTGTTTTACCCAGCAACGGCAAACGTAGGCCAGTATCATCCAATTAAAATAATGGACAATTGCTCCTGCAGCCCTGAACAGGACATGCGCAGTGAAAAATCGATGGATGGATTAAAACAAGTGAGAATATTTTGTTTTATCTGCGAGCCATATGCAATCATCAAAAGAGCCACATCTGGCTCGCGAGCCATAGGTTCCCGACCCCTGGTCTATGTGTCTCTGAATGGTGAGTCTATGGGTCTCTATGTGAGACTACGGGTCTCTGTGTGAGTCTGTGTGTCTCTATGTGGTGAGTCTATGGGTCTCTATGTGAGTCTATAGGTCTCTGTGTGGTGAGTCTGTGGGTCTCTATGGGTGTGAGTCTGCGGGTCTCTGTGTGAGTATACATGTCTCTGTATGGTGAGTCTATGGGTCTCTATGTGAGTCTATGGCTCTCTATGTGGGTCTATAGGTCTCTGTGTGTGATGAGTCAATGGGTCTCTGTGTGAGTCTGTGTCTCTGTGTGGTGAGTCTATGGGTCTCTATGTGAGTCTATGGCTCTCTATGTGGGTCTATGGGTCTCTATGTGGGTCTATGTGTCTCTGTATGGTGAGTCTATGGGTCTCTATGTGAGTCTATGGGTCTCTGTGTGGTGAGTCTGTGGGTCTCTGTGGGTGTGAGACTACGGGTCTCTGTGAGTATACGTGTCTCTGTATGGTGAGTCTATGGGTCTCTATGTGAGTCTAAGGCCCTCTATGTGGGTCTATGGGTCTGTGTGTGATGAGTCTATGGGTCTCTATGTGAGTCTATGTGTCTCTGTGTGGTGAGTCTATGGGTCTCTATGTGAGTCTATGTGTCTCTGTGTGGTGAGTCTATGGGTCTCTATGTGAGTCTATGGTTCTCTATGTGGGTCTATGGGTCTCTATGTGTGATGAGTCTATGGGTCTCTATGTGAGTCTATGGTTCTCTATGTGGGTCTACGGGGTCTCTGTGTGTGATGAGTCTATGGGTCTCTATGTGAGTCTAAGGGTCTCTGTATGGTGAGTCTATGGGTCTCTATGTGAGTCTATGGGTCTCTGTGTGAGTCTATGTGTCTCTGTATGGTGAGTCTATGGCTCTCTATGTAGGTCTATGTGTCTCTGTATGGTGAGTCTATGGGTCTCTATGTGAGTCTATGGGTCTCTATGTGGGTCTATGGGTCTCTGTGTGTGATGAGTCTATGGGTCTCTATGTGAGTCTATGGGTCTCTGTATGGTGAGTCTATGGGTCTCTATGTGAGTCTATGGGTCTCTGTGTGAGTCTATGTGTCTCTGTATGGTGAGTCTATGGCTCTCTATGTGGGTCTATGTGTCTCTGTATGGTGAGTCTATGGGTCTCTATGTGAGTCTATGGGTCTCTATGTGGGTCTATGGGTCTCTGTGTGTGATGAGTCTATGGGGCTCTGTGTGAGTCTATGGGTCTCTGTATGGTGAGTCTATGGGTCTCTATGTGAGTCTATGGCTCTCTATGTGGGTCTATGGGTCTCTGTGTGTGATGAGTCTATGGGTCTCTATGTGAGTCTATGTGTCTCTGTGTGGTGAGTCTATGGGTCTCTATGTGAGTCTATGTGTCTCTGTATGGTGAGTCTATGGGTCTCTATGTGAGTCTATGTGTCTCTGTGTGGTGAGTCTATGGGTCTCTATGTGAGTCTATGTGTCTCTGTGTGGTGAGTCTATGGGTCTCTATGTGAGTCTATGGTTCTCTATGTGGGTCTATGGGTCTTTGTGTGTGATGAGTCTATGGGGCTCTATGTGAGTCTATGGGTCTCTGTATGGTGAGTCTATGTGTCTCTGTATGGTGAGTCTATGGCTCTCTATGTGGGTCTATGTGTCTCTGTATGGTGAGTCTATGGGTCTCTATGTGAGTCTATGGGTCTCTATGTGGGTCTATGGGTCTCTGTATGTGATGAGTCTATGGGTCTCTGTGTGAGTCTATGGGTCTCTGTATGGTGAGTCTATGGGTCTCTATGTGAGTCTATGGCTCTCTATGTGGGTCTATGGGTCTCTGTGTGTGATGAGTCTATGGGTCTCTGTGTGAGTCTATGGGTCTCTGTATGGTGAGTCTATGGGTCTCTATGTGAGTCTATGGCTCCCTATGTGGGTTTATTGGTCTCTGTGTGTGATGAGTCTATGGGTCTCTGTGTGAGTCTATGGCTCTCTGTGTGGTGAGTCTATGGGTCTCTCTGTGTGATGAGTCTATGGGTCTCTATGTGAGTCTATGTGTCTCTGTATGATGAGTCTATGGGTCTCTATGTGAGTCTATGGCTCTCTATGTGGGTCTATGGGTCTCTGTGTGGTGAGTCTATGGGTCTCTGTGTGGTGAGTCTGTGGGTCTCTGTGGGTGTGAGACAACAGGTCTCTATGTGAGTCTATGTGTCTCTGTGTGTGATGAGTCTATGGGTCTCTATGTGAGTCTATGGCTCTCTGCGTGGTGAGTCTGTGGGTCTCTGGGTGTGAGACTACGGGTCTCTGTGTGAGTATACGTGTCTCTGTATGGTGAGTCTATGGGTCTCTATGTGAGTCTATGGCTCTCTATGTGAGTCTATGTGTCTCGGTGTGTGATGAGTCTATGGGTCTCTATGTGAATCTATGGCTCTCTGTGTGGTGAGTCTGTGGGTCTCTGTGGGTGTGAGACTACGGGTCTCTGTGTGAGTCTATGTGTGTCTCTGTATGATGAGTCTATGGGTCTCTATGTGGGTCCATGGGTCCTGTATGTGATGAGTCTATGGGTCTCTGTGTGGTGAGTCTATGGGTCTATGTGTGGTGAGTCTATGGGTCAATGTGGTGAGTCTATGCCTCTTTATGTGAGACGCTGATGACAGGGCTGAGACCATCTACTCACCAATGAATTTCCTTAGTGATTATGATGGTGGTGTATTTAATGCTTTTGATGGTGGTGATGTTGTTGATGGTGGTGAAGCAGAATGGTGGTGGATGTCGTGGCTCATGCCTACCGTAGATGAACAATCAGTGAATGGATGCAGGCAAGGCCAATGAGTCAGATGCCTTCTATTATCTCCTGTCACAGGTGCTATCTAAAGTGGCCCCTCGGGATAGAGTCATCCTGTTGGGTGACTTTAATGCCTGAGTAGGTCATGATGCTGGCACCTGGTCTGGAGTCATTTGAAGCCATGGGACAGATTCAGCTCAATAATAACAATAGCAGGCTGCTTTAATTATGTGTATCCCACGGGCTTGTAATTACCAACACACTCTTCCGGCATCGGCAGATTCACACAACACATGGATGCTCGCCGGGTCCAAGCAAGAACATCTGCTGGGCTAGAAAGTGCGGGTCCATGTCCTTGACACCAGGACCTACCGTGGAGCTAATCTGGCCACTAACCCATCGGCTTGCCATCTGTAAGATCTGCCTGCATTCTTCCACGCCTGTGGTGGGTGTCCATCTAGGACCCCATTCAAACCCACAGTGACCTGGTATCAACGAGCTGATGAAATTTGCAAGCGAGAATGTAATAATGGCTTGCAGCTGGAGTTGGCATCCCCCCCCCACCCTCCTCCTGATGCTGAGAGGAAATGGGCGAGGTTAAGTACTGTGGCACATGCAGCTGCAATAACCGCTTTGCGTACACGGTCCAAACCTCCCCAGAGACCCTGGCTGATAGAGGAGGTGTTACGGCTGGCTGAGAAATAGCGACAGGCCCAATCCCACCGTCTGCAGCTTCCCACGTCGCTCGGATGTTCGGCGAGATGTGCAGTGCTGCAAGCTGAGTGCTGGTTGCGGATTACTGGGGAGATGTATGTACGTTTAACTGTTTTTGCACTGAATGTAGTCAACCGTGCTAATCGGAGGGTTTAACCAGGCTGGATTGTGTGAGGAGCTCAAAAAACCTTGAAAGATCTGGACACAGTTCCATTGGTGAGCTCCTCCAGCAGGCAAGGCTGCGGTGGCTGGGGCACGTAGTCCGCATGCATAAACAGCTTTTGTTTGCCCGGACAGAGGGGGCTACATGCACGTGGCACGGGCTAGAGACGAGATGGAGTGATGTGATACTATAGGATGTGGAGCTGAGTGAACTTTCCGATGACTGGTACCAGCGGTGTCAATATCAGCCTCTGTAGAGGAGGCTCGTGAAGGACGCTACTGGGCACTTTGAGGCAACAACAGCGGAAGGCATACGAGCGACGCTCACAACAATGAGCGGAGTGACCGGCGGATAAAACACAGCAAGTTGACAGATTATGGAGAAACAGGTGGTGCATCTGCCAGTCATCTAAGTCCATGGCACCTGCTGGGTCCATCCCGTGACCTCCTGTTAGTGCGAGTTTGACACTTCACGTGACATCAAAGTGCACCTGGCCTGGCACCTGTGCCATGGCGACGTCACCGTCACTGAGTGATGAATGCCGGTGGTTGTTGCTGTTGTTGTCGCCTGTTGCTAATGGTGTTGGTGATGTTGCGGAATGCATATGCTGCACAGTAGCAGTCAACCCATGGGACATTGGTCTGTCCCTTGACCACCTCCTGCACCTAGCCTGGCACAGCAACAGCAGTCAACCCATGGCACCTGCTGGGTTTGTCCCGTGACCTCCTCCTGCACCTAGCCTGGCACAGCAACAGCAGTCAACCTATGGCACCTGCTGGGTCTGTCCCGTGACCTCCTCCTGCACCTAGCCTGACACAGCAGCAGCAGTCAATCCATGGCACCTGGGTCTGTGCCGTGACCTCCTCCTGTCATCGAGCCTTCGACGTCGCCATCAATTAGTGGCGAATGGCGGTAGTTGTTGTTGTTGCTGCTGACGACGACGGCGGTGCCGGTGATGTTGCAGAACGCATACGGGACGACGGAGAACAGCCCGGTGACTTTCTGCGGGTTCCCTCGCGATGGCCTCACCACCAAGATTGACACCGTGGGCAGAGTGCTGCAGCATTTGGAGGTGATGTCGTCACCACCATCAACACCGCCATCAACACCACCATCAACACCACTCATCAACCACACCCATCAACACCGCCATCAACACCACCCATGAACGCCAACCATCAACACCACCATCAACGCCAATCATCAACACCACCATCAACACCACTCATCAACACCGCCATCAACACCACACATGAACGCCAACCATCAACACCACCCATCAACACCACCATCAACACCACCCATCAACACCACCCATCAACTCCACCATCACCAACAACATCACCACCACTCATCAACACCCCCCATCAACACCACCGTCACCAAAGCCATCACCAACGTCAGCACCACCTCTATCAGCATCATCACGAACACCACGATCAAAATCACTACCGTCACCATCAACATCACGATCATCACCGCCACCATCATCACTACCTCCATCATAAGCATCACCACCATTAACACCATCACCGCCCTCACCATTATCCCCATCACCAACATCACCATGATCACCATCATCACCATCATCACCATCACTATGATTAGCATCACCATCATCACCATCACTATGATTAGCATCACCATCATCACCATCACTTTGATCGGTGAGTGGCACGGGCTGGAGCAGAGATGGACTGATGGGTCAGTAAGTGGCACGGGCTGCAGCAGAGATGGACTGATGGGTCAGTGAGTGGCACGGGCTGGAGCAGAGATGGACTGATGGGTCAGTAAGTGGCACGGGCTGGAGCAGAGATGGACTGATGGGTCAGTGAGTGGCACGGGCTGAAGCAGAGATAGATTGATGGGTCAGTGAGTGGCATGGGCTGGAGCAAAGATGGATTGATGGGTCAGTGAGTGGCACGGGCTGGAGCAGAGATGGACTGATGGGTCAGTGAGTGGCACGGGCTGGAGCAGAGATGGACTGATGGGTCAGTGAGTGGCATGGGCTTGAACAAAGATGGACTGATGGGTCAGTAAGTGGCACGGGCTGGAGCAGAGATGAACTGATGGGTCAGTGAGTGGCACGGGCTGGAGTAGAGATGGGGCTGATGGGTCAGTAAGTGGCACGGGCTGGAGCAGAAATAGACTGATGGGTCAGTGAGTGGCACGGGCTGGAGCAGAGATGGACTGATGGGTCAGTGAGTGGCACAGGCTGGAGCAGAGATGGACTGATGGGTCAGTGAGTGGCACGGGCTGGAGCAGAGATGGGACTGATGGGTCAGTGAGTGAGTGAGTGGGTGAGTGGCACGGCCTAAAGAAGAGATGGGGCTGATGCGGTACGGGAGAACGTGGAGCTGAGTGGACTTGCCAATGACCGGTACCAGCGGTGTCAAGATCGGCCTCTGTGGAGGAGGAGGCTTGTGGAGGACGCTGCTCCTGGGGAGTTGGAGGCAGTCGCCTCCCGGCAAGAGGAACGACGCTCACAACTGAGCTGTGTAGTCGCTCTTTTCTCAGAAGCGACCTGTCCTTCACAGACGAGAGCACAACGAAGTGACTCATCATCATCGCGGTGGAAATTTATAGTGATGCGGCAGGAAACGATCGGAGGTCACCGAGAAAAATGCACGCAGTGACCATCATGGGGAGAGAGACGCAAACTCCAAATATACAGCAGCAGGCTTCACCGGGGTCGAGATTGAACCCATGAACTCCTGCGTACCAGGCGAGGGAGTCAACATCTCTTGGTACAAAATATACAGCAGCAGGCGTCATCAGGGCCCGGGATCTAGCCCACGCCCTCATGCATACGGTACCAAATATATACAGCAGCAGTTGTAGGGATTCGTCAGGCTGTATGATTGAACCCACGACCCCTGCGTTCCAGGCGAGCGAGTTAACACCTCATAGCCACCGTGATGATGATGAGAGAGACACAGATTCTAAATATGCAGCAGCAGGCATCGTCAGGGTCTGGATCGAACCCACGACCTCCTGTATACCAGGCGAGCGAGTTAACATCTCACCACGAGGAGAGAGACAGAGAGACGCAGACTCCAAATATACAGCATTTGGCATCGTCCGGGTCCATGGTCGAACCCACGTCCATCCTGCGCACCAGGCGAGGTAGTCAACATCTCTTGGGACCAAATATGCAGCAGCAGCAGCAGGCATCGTCAGGGTCCGCGATGAGACCCACGACCTCCTGCGTAACCAGGGCGAGGTAGCGGTCAACATCTACCCTAACAACCACGCAGAGGCAGCATCATCTCCCTCCTCCCCGCGGCGTGGCTCCCGTGCAGGCCAAGGTGGTGGGGCCCGGCTCGAGCCCTCCGCTGCGCGTGGGCGAGCAGGGGGAGCTGTGCGTGCGGGGACACTGCGTGATGCGCGGGTACTGGGGGGACAGCGTCAAGACGCGGGAGTGCATCACGCCCGACGGGTGGTACCACACCGGGTGAGTGGCGGGGTGGGGTGCGATGGGTGGTTAGCACACACTCACCGTGTACCGCTCCCACCGTGTACCACGCCCACCGTGTACCACGCCCACCGTGTACCGTGCTCACCGTGTACCTCGCCCACCGTGTACCGCATTCATCGTGTACCACACTCACCGTGTACCACACTCACCGTGTACCGCACTCACCGTATACCGCTCCCACCGTGTACCGCTCTCACCGTGTACCGCGCCCACCATGTACCGTGCCCACCGTGTACCGTGCTCACCGTGTACCTCGCCCACCGTGTACCGTACTCACCGTGTACCGTGCTCACCGGGTCCCACTCCCACCGTGTACCGCACTCACCGTGTACCGTGCTCACCGTGTACCGCACTCACCGTGTACCACTCCCACCGTGTACTGTGCCCACCGTGTACTGCTCCCATTGTGTACCGCACTCACCGTGTGCCGCGCTCACCATGTACTGTGCCCACCGTGTACCGTGCTCACCGTGTACCGCGCCCACCGTGTACCGCTCCCACCGTGTACCGTGCCCACCGTGTACCGTGCTCACCGTGTACCACGCCCACCGTGTACCACACTCACCGTGTACCGCTCCCACCGTGTACCGTGCTCACCGTGTACCTCGCCCACCGTGTACCGTGCTCACCGTGTACCGTGCTCACCGTGTACCGCTCCCATTGTGTACCGCACTCACCGTGTACCGCGCCCACCGTGTACCGCGCCCACCGTGTACCGCTCCCACCGTGTACCGTGCTCACCGTGTACCTCGCCCACCGTGTACCGTACTCACCGTGTACCGTGCTCACCGGGTCCCACTCCCACCGTGTACCGCACTCACCGTGTACCGTGCTCACCGTGTACCGCACTCACCGTGTACCGCTCCCACCGTGTACTGTGCCCACCGTGTACTGCTCCCATTGTGTACCGCACTCACCGTGTGCCGCGCTCACCATGTACCGTGCCCACCGTGTACCGTGCTCACCGTGTACCGCTCCCACCGTGTACCGCACTCACCGTGTACCGCGCCCACCGTGTACCGTGCTCACCGTGTACCTCGCCCACCGTGTACCGTGCTCACCGTGTACCGCTCCCATTGTGTACCGCACTCACCATGTACCGTGCTCACCGTGTACCGTGCTCACCGTGTACCGCTCCCATTGTGTACCGCACTCACCGTGTACCGCGCCCACCGTGTACCGCGCCCACCGTGTACCGCGCCCACCGTGTACCGCACTCACCGTGTACCGCACTCACCGTGTACCGCACTCACCGTGTACCACTCCCACCGTGTACCGCACCCACCGTGTACCGCTCCCATTGTGTACCGCACTCACCGTGTACCACGCCCACCGTGTACCGCGCCCACCGTGTACCTCGCCCACCGTGTACCGTGCTCACCGTGTACCGCACCCACCGTGTACTGTGCCCACCGTGTACCGCACCCACCGTGTACTGTGCCCACCGTGTACCGCACTCACCGTGTACCGCGCTCACCGTGTACCGCACTCACCGTGTACCGCGCTCACCGTGTACCGTGCTCACCGTGTACCGCACCCACCGTGTACTGTGCCCACCGTGTACCGCGCTCACCGTGTACCGCACTCACCGTGTACCGCACTCACCGTGTACCGCGCTCACCGTGTACCGCACTCACCGTGTACCGCACTCACCGTGTACCGCTCCCATTGTGTACCGCGCCCACCGTGTACTGTGCTCACCGTGTACCACTCCCACCGTGTACTGTGCCCACCGTGTACTGCTCCCATTGTGTACCGCGCGCACCGTGTACCGCACTCACCGTGTACCGCTCCCACCGTGTACCGCACCCACCGTGTACTACTCCCACCGTGTACCACGCTCACCGTGTACCACGCTCACCGTGTACCACGCCCACCGTGTACCATGCCCACCGTGTACCGTGCCCACCGTGTACCACGCTCACCGCATGCAGCGTGTGTGGGGTGGATGGTATCACACTCACAAGGTGAGTAACTGGTTGCGGTGTGTAGTAAACATCGTCACTGGGGAGACAAAGGCGGTCGGGCGTGGTGCTGGCCACCCACACCCTCGTGTACCACAGTGCCGGCCTTCATAGGTGCTCGCTCAAAGCGCTTGCCCCTATAGTCTGTTAAGGCTATAGGGGGGATCTTTGTCTTTGTTGTTGTTGGTGTTGCTGTTGGGTTTAATGGTTCTGATGGTGGTGCTGGTAGTGGTGTTGATGGTGATGATGATAATGATGGTGTTGATGGTGATCGTGGTGGTTATGATGATGGTGGTGGCGATGGTGTTGATGGTGATGATGGTGTTGATGGTGTTGATGGTGTTGATGGTGATGGTGGCGGTCATAGTGATGATGATGATGATGGTGGTGGTAATGATGGTGTTGATGATGATAATGGTGATGATGATGACGGTGGTGGTCGTGGTGGTGATGATGGTGATGATAATAGTTGATGGTCGTGGTGGTGGTAATGATGTTGTTGATGGTGATGATGGTGTTGATGGTGATTATGATGATGGTGGCGGTCGTGGTGATTATAATGGTGAAGATGGTGTTGATGGTGATGATTGTGATGATGGTGATGGTCGTGGTGGTAATTATGGTGGTGATTATGGTGATGGTCGTGGTGGTAATGATGGTGATGATGTTGTTGATGGTGTTGATGATGATGTTGGTGTTGATGATGATGTTGATGATGATGTTGATGTTGGTGTTGATGATGATGTTGGTGTTTATGATGATGATGTTGGTGTTGATGATGTTGATGGTATAGATGATGATGTTGGTGTTGATGGTGTTGATGGTGTTGATGATGTTGATGTTGGTGTTGATGATGATGTTGGTGTTGATGGTGTTGATGGTGTTGATGATGTGGATGTTGGTGTTGATGATGCTGTTGGTGTTTATGATGATGATGTTGGTGTTGATGGTGTTGATGGTTGACAGCGATGTGGCCGTGATGGACGAGCTGGGTTACTGCCGCATCGTGGGGCGACTCAAGGACCTCATCATCCGCGGAGGGGAGAACGTCTACCCTGCCGAGGTGGAGGCGCTGCTGCACACTCACCCCTCGGTCCTGGAAGCACAGGTCTCGCTCACCCGCCCGCTCACCCGCCCGTTCACCCACGCACTCACTCACTCACCAACTTACCCACTCACCCACCCACTCACTCACCCACTCACTCACCCACCCGCTCACTCACCCACTCACTCACACTCACTCACACTCACCCACTCACTCACCCACTCACTCACTCACTCACCCATCCACCCACCCTCTCACTCACTCACTTACCCACTCACTCACCCACCCTCTTACTCACCCACCCACCCACTCACTCGCCAAACCTCTCACTCACCTACTCACTCACCCGCTCACTCACCAACCCTCTCAATCACCTACTCAGTCACTCAATCGCCTACTCACTCACCTGATCACTTACTCACACATCCACTCACCCACTCACTCACTTACATATTCACCCACCCACTCACACACTCATTCACTCACACATTCGTCCACTTCCTCACCCACTCGCTCACCCACCCGCTCACTCACTTACACACTCACTCACCCACTCACTCACCCACTCACTCACCCACTCACTCACCAACCCTCTCACTCACCCACTCAATCACTCAATCACCTACTCACTCATCCACTCACCCACTCACTCATTCAGCCGCTCACTCACTCACTCGCTCACTCGCTCACCCACTCGCTCACCCACCCGCTCACTCACTCACTCGCTCACCCACTCGCTCACCCACCCGCTCACTCACTCACCCACTCACTCACCCACTCACTCACCCACTCACTCACTCACTCACCCACCCACTCACTCACACACTCACTCACCCACCCACTCGCTCACTCACCCACCCGCTCACTCACCCACCCACCCACTTACTCACCCACCCACCCCCTCACTCGCAACCCTCTCACTCACCCACTCAATCACTCAATCACCTACTCACTCATCCACTCACCCACTCACTCACTTACCCACTCACTCACTCACCCTCTCACGCACCCACCCATTTACTCACCCACCCACTGACTCGACAACCCTTTCATTCACCCACTCAATCACCTACTCACCTGATCACCTACTCATCATCCACTCACTCACCTACTCACCCACGCACTCACCTACTCACGCACTCACTCACCCACTAACCCACCCACCCACCCTCACACCCACTGTAGGTGGTTGTGGTGTTGGTGTAGTGGTTACTGTATGTGGTAGTCGTGATAGTCTTTGTTGTCTATGGTTGTGGAGGTCGTTGTTGTGGTGGTTGTTTAGGTAGTTGTTCTTTTGCTAGGAGGTTCGGAGAGTCGTGTGGCACTGCAAGGATGGGTGGTGGTCGCGGGTTGCTGAGGAGGTGGAGTCTGCCTCAGTTGCCGGCGATCACAAATCACTCTTTAACTCCATCAAAAATGTAACTTGCATCGCTACATCTATCACCATTACTAAAGGAAAGAACGGTGATCCGGTATCAGACCACCATGAACAGATTTGCAGATTTTCTGAGCATTTCTGTGAGGTCTTGGGGGCGTGGAAATCCCTCAGTATGGCAAACATCGTGGGACAAAGTGGGGATGACCGTGCTGTGGCTGCCGTGCCTCAAATATTGGGAGAAGTCGTCACCCCCTGTGAGTGGCTGGCTGAGGTCCCATCTGTTGAGGAATTAAGAAGGCGATTCAAAGTAATATGAGACCAGGAAAAGCACCGGGCAGAGATGATGTACCAAACGAAATGCTGAGGGAGGGTGTCGTGTGTGCACAAACTGCTCTTCATGACATCATAACAACAGTCTGAACCACTGGACGGGTTCTGCAGGATGAGAAGTATGCCCTGGTATTCCCCCTCTTTAAGAAGGGGGACTACACAGACTGTAACAACTACAGGGGTATCTCCGTCCTCGGTTTGGCGGGAAAGGTCCTGGCAAGGATTATTCAACATCGCCTTGCCAGGCACGCTGAGGAGAGGCTTGCAGAGCCACAATGTGGTTTCAGGAAAGGGCGGTCCTGCACACATGCCATATTTTGTGTCCGTCTGCTACAGCAGAGGTTATGGCAATTCCAACAGGACCTACATCCCGGCCTATGATACCATCAGTAGCCCTAGGCTCTGGGTTGCTCTTTGTGCTTTCAGAGTCCTTGACTATCTGCTCACAATCATTAAAGACCTTCATGATGGTGAGCAGGCCCGGGTAAAACTACAGAGCCATTACCTGTTCACCTTGGGGTGCTTCAGGCATGTCCTCTGGCTACCACATTATTTTACATCTATTTCGACCACGTAGTTCGTGAAGGCTGTACCAGAGTAATTTCCATCTGGTACAGATACAATGGGAGGCTGATCAATGCCCGGGTGTGGTCAAAGGATGGCTCCCTATTGCTCAACCACGTTATCTATGCCGACGACCTGGTAATTGCTGCTCACTCAGAGGAGGAGATGGAGGCGCTGCTGCTAAACCTGGAGCTTGCCACCAAGACCTGGGGCCTTACCATCAGCCCCACCACAACTAAGCACCTGCCTCGGTATTTTGTGCCCTCAAACACTCCACCCCCACAACTCCCAATTGGTGATGGAGCAGTTGTGGAGAGAGTGGAGAGTTTTCCATACCTGGGCAGTGTGCTCATGATAGGCTCCGTATCAGTCGAGCGGCATTATCTTTTCATCAGCTGTGTAACGTGTATAAGCTACCTGGTCTGTCGCTCCACACGTCATGCTCTCCCGTCTCTATGCTTGCGAAACGTGGACCCCTTTGGTGGAACATCTTCTCTGGTGAGAAACATTTAGGCTGGCCTGCCTACTACTTATCCTGGGTTTAACCAGGCTGGATTGTGTGAGGAGCTGACAAATCCTTGAAAGATCTGGGCAAAGTCCCATCAGTGAGCTCCTCCGGCAGGCAAGGCTGCATTGGCTGGGTCATGTAGCCTGCATGCCCAGCCACCGCATGCCTAAACAGCTTTTGTTCGGCTGGATAGAGGGGGCTAAACAGGCGCGGCAAAGTCTATAAAAAAAGATGGAGTGACGTGATACTAGAGGATGTGGAGCTGAGTTGACTTTCTGATGACTGGTACCAGCGGTGTCAAGATCGGCCTCTGTGGAGGAGGAGGAGGAGGCTCGTGAAGGACGCTGCTACTGGGCAGTTGGAGGCAGTCGCCCTCCAACAACAATGGAGGGCGGAGGAGCGACGCTCACAACAACAAGCGGAGCGCCGGGTGTCTAAAGTACTGCAAGTTGCCACTAGGGGGTACAGGTGGTGCATCGGTCAGTCATCTCTGTCTGGCAACCCATGGCACCTGGGTTTGTCCCATGACCTCCTGCCAGCAGGCATTCGACACTTCAAGTGGCCTTAACGTGCACCTAGCCTGGCACAAGGACCATGGTGACGTCACCGCCACTTAGTGGCGAATGGCGGTTGTTGTTTGTAGGTGGTGGTGGTTTTAGTGGCGGTGTAGGTGGTTCTGGTGGTGTGGATGGTAGTTGTTGTAGTGGTTGTGGTAGTTGTGGTTGTATAGGTGGTTGTGGTGTAGTTTTGTGTAGTTGTTATTGTTGTTGTGGTTGTGGTGGTGTAGGTGGTTGCGGTAATTGTTGTGGTTGTTGTGGTAGTGGTTGTTGTGGTGGTGGTGGTGGTGGTGGTGGTGGTGATGGTGGTGCAGACGGTTGTGGTAGTTGTGTTGGTGGTTGTGGTAGTTGTTGTGGTTGTTGTGGTAGTAGTTGTTGTGATGGTGGTGGTGGTGCAGACGGTTGTGGTAGTTGTGTTGGTGGTTGTGGTAGTTGTTGTGGTTGTTGTGGTAGTAGTTGTTGTGGTGGTGATGGTGGTGGTGATGGTGGTGCAGACGGTTGTGGTAGTTGTGTTGGTGGTTGTGGTAGTTGTGTTGGTGGTTGTGGTAGTTGTGTTGGTGGTTGTGGTAGTTGTGTTGGTGGTTGTGGTAGTTGTTGTGGTTGTGCTTGTATAGGTGGTGGGCGTGTTCGATGAGCGCATGGGGGAGGAGGCTTGCGCCTGCCTCCGCCTCCAGCCCGGAGTGGCGGCGCTCTCCGCTCGCGACCTCCACTCCTTCTGCAACACCAAGGTGGAGACCCCCACAACCCCTCCCCCACGGCCCCTCCCCCACGGTCCCCTCACCCACGCCCCCTTCACCCACGCCCCCCTCCCCCACGGCCCCTTCCCCCACGCCCCCCTTCCCCACGGCCCCCTCCCCCACGGCCCCCTCCCCCACGCCCCCTCCCCCACGGCCCCCTCCCCCACGCTCCCCTCCCCCACGCCCCCCTTCCCCACGGCCCCCTCCCCCACGGTCCCCTCCCCCACGCCCCCCTTCCCCACGGCCCCCTCCCCCACGGCCCCCTCCCCCACGCCCCCTCCCCCACGCTCCCCTCCCCCACGCCCCCCTTCCCCACGGCCCCCTCCCCCACGGCACCCTCCCCCACGCTCCCTCCCCCACAGCCCCAATGCCCCCTCCCCCACGCCCCCTCCCCCACGCCCCCTCCCCCACGCCCCCTCCCCCACGCCCCCCTCCCCCCCGCCCCCTCCCCCACGCCCCCTCCCCCACGCCCCCTCCCCCCCCTTCCCCACGGCCCCCTCCCCCACGGCCCCTCCCCCACGGCCCCTCCCCCACGGCCCTCCCCTCCTGTATCCCCTCCACCACTGCCACCCACAAACCCCGCCCACTCTCACGTAGCCCCTCCCACTCGCCCTCTAACACTGCCTACTCTCGCACAACCCCGCCCACTCTCACATAGCCCCTCCCACTCAGCCACAAGCACTGTCTACACTCGCACAACCACGCCCACTCTCACGTAGCCCCTCCCACTCGCCAACTCGCGCAACTAGCCCCGCCCACTCGGACTGCAACTCAAAACATGTGGGACTGCTTTAACAATGGTGCGTGTGTCTGTGTGTGTCTGTGTGTCTCTGTGTTTGTCTCTGAGTGTCTTCGTCTGTGTGTGTCTTTATATGTGTGTGTTTGTCTCTGTGTGCGTGTGTCTGTCTGTTTGTGTCTGCGTACCTATATGTGTCTTTGTGTGTCTCTGTGTGTCTGTGTGTATATGTGTGTCTGTGTTCGTGTCTCTATGTTTCTGTATTTGTCTGTATGTGTGTCTTTGTCTGTTTCTGTGCGTCTGTGTCTTTGTGCGTGTGTCTTTGTGTGCGTTGTGTGTCTATGTATCTGTGTGTGTGCATGTGTCTTTGTGTGTGTCTTCGTGTGTCTGTGTGTATTTGTATGTGTGTCTGTGTGTCTCTGTGTTTGTATGCGTGTCTTTGTGTGTGTATGTCTGTGTGCGTCTGTGTGTATATTTGTGTGTCTGTGTTTGTGTCCGTGTCGGTAATAACCACTCAGATCGCTCACTTCAAGATTCCAAAATACGTAGAGATCGTGGACTCCTACCCCCTCACGGTGACTGGCAAGGTGAGTTCCCCCCCACCCCCCTTCTCAGCATGTGCGTGCATGACGTCACAATCGCCCTCGTGCGAGGCCACGTGGGAGGCCACCAGAATGCAGACCACGTGGAACCCCAGAGGGAGAGGCCTCTCTCCACTGCTGTAAACCAGCACTTGAAAGGCTTTGGGCCCAATGATCGATGGTGGATGCATCGTCGTCATCGCGTGTGCGGAATGCACGCCGGGTTTATTCCCCCCTCCCCCCCCCTTCACTCTGTGGGTTTTGATTTCGGGTGCTTTTTGTTCCTCCCCTTCAGATCCAGAAGTTCAAGCTCAGGGAGCAAATGGAGAAGAAGCTGGGGCTGAAATGAGCGCACGCACGCACATACACGTGGGGATCTACACACAGACACAGAACCACATATAGACTCGCACACACACATTACGGCGATCTACACAAGGACATAGAACCACATACATACAGACAACAACAACAACCGCCATTCGCCACTAAGTGGCGGTGACGTCACCACGACGCGTGTGCCAGGCTACGTGCACCCTGAGGCCACGTGAAGTGTTGAACGCCCGCTGGCAAGAGGTCATGAGGCAGACCCAGGTGCCACGGATCAACTGACTGAGATGAGTGGCTGATGCACCACCTGTGCCCCCTACTGTGCCAACTTGCTGTGCTTTAGCCACCCAACGCTCCGCTCGTTCTTGTGAGCGTCGCTCCTCCGCCCTCCGTTGTTGTTGGAGGGGACTGCCTCCAACTGCCCAGTAGCATCCGTCACGAGCCTCCTCTACAGAGGCCGATCTTTATACCGCTGGTACCAGTCATCGGCAAGTCCACTCAGCTCCACGTCCTCCTGTACCACATCACTCCATCTCTTATCTAGCCCGTGTCGCGCCCGTTTAGCCCCCTCGATCCGGCCGAACATACAGACACACACACTCACACACACAGACATACAGAGCCATACAGAACCACATCCAGACTCACGGACACTCACACACACACTAAAAAAACTAAGACAAAGATCCCCCATATAGTCTGAACATACTGTTGGGGTAAGTGGTGATATCGAGCACCTATGAAGGCGGCACGGCACACAAGGGGGTAGTTGGCCAGCACTAAGCCCGGCCGCCTTTCTCTCCCGAGTAGCAATGTGTTTATACATCACACTCAATACTCAATTGAAGCTGCACATTCATGCGTCCACAAATGGCAATACAAAGATCCCCATGTCACCTTTAACAGACTGTCGGGGCAGGTGCTGTGAGTCAGTAGTTGCAGTGCCTATGAAGGCCGGCACTGTGGCGCACGAGGGGGTGGGTGGCCAGCAACCACCACGCCCCACCCGGGTCGCCTTTTTCTCCCCATGCACCCCTTTGTGGTGGTCTATTTCGGAATGCACAGGGGGTTCGTGCGAAAGCTCTCAGCTTTGTGCAGACCACCGGCTCGACAGAACTGGACGTGTGGCCATGGCCATGTTTGACTCGGGGGAGGGGAGGGAGCCTCCGAATGTTGGACGAGACGTTGTTAAGATGGGACTCGCAGCCATTGCGATTCCGTTGACGGAGTGAATGGCAATAAACCTCGTAAAAGTTCGCAGAAGACTTGACGAGGGGGTGATCGCGAACACCCTAACGGTGACTGTCGAGGTTATATTAAGTCGACTGATAATTAATATAATTGCATCATCGTTGACTTTGATTGTAATGACGTGTAATTATTCTCGTAACATTCACAACGAATATATGAATTGCATTAATATCGTAAAATTTACGTATCTGAGACACTCACCGGATTAGCTGCGTGGAGCGAAGATGCCGTTGGTGGCCATGTTGCACAGGTGACGTCATGGTGGCCATGTTGCCGAGGGATGCTATGGCGGCCATATTGCACAGGTGACGTCATGGTGGCCATGTTGCTCGAGGGATGCTATGGTGGCCATGTTTCACAAGTGACGTCATGGTGGCCATGTTGCTCGAGGGATGCTATGGCGGCCATGTTTCACAGGTGACGTCATGGTGGCCATGTTGCTCGAGGGATGCTATGGTGGCCATGTTGCACAGGTGACGTCATGGTGGCCATGTTGCTCGAGGGATGCTATGGCGGCCATGTTGCACAGGTGACGTCATGGTGGCCATGTTGCTCGAGGGATGCTATGGTGGCCATGTTTTACAGGTGACGTCATGGTGGCCATGTTGCTCGAGGGATGCTATGGCGGCCATGTAGGCATCCTGGCAGCTGATTGGCCGGTGCAGTGGGCGTGTTGACTCAATCCTAAGCGCGAGTTACTCTTACGAGCAAGAACTATGATCTCTTACCCACGACGTCGATATATTTGACTCTGACAATTTTTTCTCTTGTCATGTGGATCATCGTAATTCGATCGTAAGCCTACAGCAGCAGCACTTGAGATACATATGATGATTGTTTTGTGCGCCCAGGCCTAGGCTGAGATTCTCGCTGTGTCCAAAACTCAGAGAATAAACATTTCCACATGATTTGAGGTTTTTGTCACTGCAGGGATCCATACTCTTTAGTTCTTTCGGTAAAGTCACGTAGGTATAAAATAACACAAATTAAATCACGACGTTTCAGGCGCGCCATGACGGACGCTTGTGTTGCGCCCGAAACGTCGTGATTTAATTTATTTTATACCTACGTGACTTTACCGAAAGAACCAAAGAGTATTTCCACATGAGCCACTCTAGACTCGGTAGCCCCTATATTCGATTCACAATGCTGGCCTCTAGACGGAGTTTGTATGCTCTCCACCTGTTCTACAGTCTGAGTGTATGATGGATCGAGTTGAATGTGTGTGAGTGAATGCGTGGGTGAGGGAGGCTTGCGGAGCCCCAATGTGGTTTCAAACAAGGGCGGTCCTGCACTGATGCTACAGAAGAGGTGTAAGGAATTAGAACAGGACTTACATCTCTGCTATATTTACCTGGTCAACACCTATGATAAAACCAATAGACCTGCACTCTGGGTTCTTCGTGCTTTCGGAGTCCCTGACTCTGCTCGCAATCATTAAGGGCTTTCATGATGGTGGGCAGGCCCGGTAAAACTGCGTGGCCGGGAGTCAGTCACTCCCTGTTCGCCATTGGGGTGTGATAGGGATGTCCTCTGGCACCTACATTTTTTACATGTATTGATCACGTAGTGCAATGAATCTCCATCTGGTGCAGATACAATGGGAGGCTGATCAATGCCTGGGTGCGGTCAAGGGATGACTCCCTATTGGTCAACCATGTTACGTATGCTGATTATCGGGTTTTGCTACTCACTCAGTGGAGGCGTTCGAGGCGCTGCTGCTGAACCTGGAGTGTGTCACTAAGAGGTGGGGTCTTACCATAAGCCCCTCCAAAACTACTGTAAGTACCTGCCATCAAACACCACACCCCCGCAACTCCCCATTGGCGGCACAGTTGTGGAGATAGTGGGAAGGTGTCCATACGTAGGAAGTGTGCTCATGACCAGCTCCGATTTGAAAACAGAGGACTCAATCTGAATCAGTCGGCCGGCATTATCTTTTCATCGGCTGACTAACGCTGCTATGTGGAAGATACCTGGTCTGTCGCTTCACACGAAGCTTCGGGTCTTCTTGGCCACAGTCATACCCTCCTTTCTCTAGCTTGAAAACATGGTCCCCTCCAATGGAACATCTGCACCGGTTAGAAACATTCTGGCAAGCCTGCCGAAGATCTATCCTGCTTATAACTAGGCTAGATTGTGTGAGGAGCTCACAAATCCTTGAAAAATCTGGACAGAGTCCCATCAGTGAGCTGCTCCAGTAGGCAAGGCTGCATTCTACATATCCAGAGAGACCCACAGAGACCCATAAAGACTCACAGAGACTCAGAGACACACAGATACCCATACAGACCCACAGAGACCCATACAGACCCACAGAGACCCATACAGACCCACAGAGACCCATGGAGTACCCATACAGATTCACAGAGACTCATACAGACCCACAGAGACTCAGACAGACCAATAGAGACCCATACAGACCCACAGAGACCCAGACAGACCGACAGAGACCCATACTCATAGAGACACATACAGACCCACAGAGACCCATACTTGCAGAGACTCATACAGACCCACAGAGACCCATACTCATAGAGACCCATACAGACCCACAGAGACCCATACAGACCCACATAGACCCATACTCATAGAGACCCACACAGACCCACATAGACCCATACTCATAGAGACCCATACAGACCCACAGACACCCATTCTCATAGAGACTCATACAGACCCACATAAACCCATACTCATAGAGACCCATACAGACCAACAGAGACCCATACTCATAGAGACCCATACTCATAGAGACCCATACTAAAACCAAACTTTTTATTTTACCAGATCTAAGACCCCACTGAGCGATGTACTGTATGTCTGTTTCAAAGGCTACTTGGCCATCGCAAATTATAGCCCAACGGAGTGGCTGATATCGTCTTCATCACGTGGAAATGTTTAGCTGCAGCCAAGTACTCTAAACGCGTAGAGACGTCGATTTTCTACATTAACCGGAGGACCCGGATAAAGATCCACGTGACCAAGGGGAGAGAGAGAGAGAGACACCGCAGACTCCAAATAAGACAGCTGCAGGCGTCAGAGTCGGGATTGAAGCCACGACTTCCTGTATACCAGGCGAGGGATTTAACACCTCGATGGCCGGATTGCAGGAGGGTCATGCCGTATTCCCTTCACAGGCGGTGAATGAGCAGTTACCTCAGTCAGCAGTCAACCTGGGAACTATGCCGTGACCTCCTCCTGCACCTAGCCTGGCACAACAGCAGTCAACCCATGTCACCTGCTGGGTCTGTCACGTGACATCCTCCTGCACCTAGCCTGGCACAGCAGCAGTCAACCCATGGCACCTGCTGGGTCTGTCCCCGTGACCTCCTCCTGCACCTAGCCTGGCACAACAGCAGTCAACCCATGGCACTTGCTGGGTCTGTCACGTGACCTCCTGCACCTAGCCTGGCACAGCAGCAGCAGTCAATCCATGGCACTTGCTGGGTATGTCACGTGACCTCCTCCTGCACCTAGCCTGGTACAGTAGCAGTCAACCCATGGCTCCCACTGAGGAGCGATTTGCACGGTGACGTTGACTCAGCGTCGATTGTGGGATGTTGGTTTGGCCGATAGCAGCTCCACAGCGATGGGAGGAGAAAACCAGAGAGCCTCTCGGTCCCCCAAAGCCCCGCCCCTCTATCTCCCACAGCCCCTCCCCTCAGTCCCACTCAGCCCCTCCCCTCAAATCTCCACAGCCCCTCCCCTCAGTCCCCCACAGCCCATCCCCTCAGTCCCCCATAGCCCCTCCCCTCAGTCCCCCATAGCCCCTCCCCTCAGTCCCCCATAGCCCCTCCCCTCAGTCCCCCATAGCCCCTCCCCTCAGTCCCTCACAGCCTCTCCTCTCACTCCCCCACAGCCCATCCCCTCAGTCCCCCATAGCCCCTCCCATCAGTCCCCCACAGCCCCACCCCTCAGTCCCCCACAGCCCCTCCCATCAGTCCCCCATAGCCCCTCCCACCAGTCCCCCACAGCCCCACCCCTCAGTCCCCCATAGCCCCTCCCATCAGTCCCCCACAGCCCCACCCCTCAGTCCCCCGCAGCCCCTCCCATCAGTTCCCCATAGCCCCTCCCACAAGTCCCCCATAGCCCCTCCCACCAGTCCCCCACAGCCCCACCCCTCAGTCCCCCACAGCCCCTCCCATCAGTTCCCCACAGCCCCTCCCACCAGTCCCCCACAGCCCCACCCCTCAGTCCCCCATAGCCCCTCCCACCAGTCCCCCACAGCCCCACCCCTCAGTCCCCCATAGCCCCTCCCATCAGTCCCCAAAGCCCCTCCCCCTCAGTCCCCCACAGCCCCTCCCATCAGTCCCCCACAGCCCCTCCCATCAGTCCCCCACAGCCCCTCCCCTCAGTCCCCCACAGCCCCTCCCCTCAGTCCCCCACAGCCCCTCCCCTCAATCACCCACAGCCCTTCCCCTCAGTCCCCCACAGCCCCTCCCCTCAGTCCCCCACAGCCCCTCCCATCAGTCCCCCCTAGCCCCTCCCATCAGTCCCCACAGCCCCTCCCCCTCAGTCCCCCATAGCCCCTCCCACCAGTCCCCACAGCCCCTCCCCCTCAGTCCCCCGCTTCCCTATTGGACCACGCGTATTAAACCCTCGCGTTACGTAACTAACCGCCGACGTTCGCTTTCGGGGGAGCCATCTTGGCACGGGGTGGGTGACGTCATCGTGGGGGGGGTGTGTGTGGCGAACGTGGTGCACGTGGGGGGAGGGGTGACTCCGCTTCCAATCAGCGAGCGGCTGTGGGGGCGCGCGCTCGGGGTGGGAGGGGGTGACGTCAGAGTCCCTTTCACATCACGGAGCTGGGCGGGCGCGCGGTGACCCCCCCCACCCCCCTACGTAAGATGGCGGCTGCTTGAGCTTCGCAAACTCAGCGCAGCAGCTCAAGGAGGATCTCTAGACGAGTTGGAAAGAGGAGGTGGGGGAGTCGAGGAGGAGGTGGGGGGAGACGAGGAGGAGGTTGGGGGAGACGAGGAGGAGGTGGGGGAGACGAGGAGGAGGTGGGGGAAGGCGAGGAGGAGGTGGGGGAGACGAGGAGGAGGTGGGGAAGACGAGGAGGAGGTGGGAGGAAAGGAGACGAGGTTGAGGAGGTGGGAGACGAGGAGGAGCGGAGCTGAGTGGGTTGTGAGACGAGGTGGGAGACGAGGAGGAGAGGCGATGTCGGGCCCAGCGGAAGCGGCTGCTGCTGGAGCAGCTGCAGCAGCAACGGATGAGGAGGTGGAGGCGGCGAGACGAGGTGGAGGAGGGGGTGGAGGAGGAGGTGAAGAGGGAGCGGAGGGGGGCGGAGGAGCGGACCCCACTTTCGAGTGCAACATTTGCCTGGACGTGGCCAGGGATGCGGTCATCAGCCTCTGCGGACACCTGTTCTGGTACAGAGTAACGGGGAGTGACATCCAAAGTAATCACTCTCAGAGTAATCCTTCACAGAGTAATCCCCTGCAGAGTAATCCCATTGCAGAGTAAACCCCCTTGCAGAGTAATCCCCTTGCAGAGTAATCCCCTACAGAGTAATCCCTTCACAGAGTAATCCATCACAGAGTAATCCCCTGTAGAGTAATCCCTATAGAGTAATCCCTTCACAGAGTCACCCCTCACAGAGTAATCCCCCGCAGAGTAATCCCTAACATAGTAACGGGGAGTGACATCCAAAGTAATCCCCTGGTAATCCTCCTGCACAGAGTAATCCTCTGCACAGTAATCCCCTCACAGTCACCCCTCACATAGTCATCTCACAGTAATCCCTTCACAGAGTCATCCCTCACAGAGTAATCCCCTACAGAGTAATCCCTCACAATAATCCCTCATATAGTAATCCCCTGCAGAGTAATCCCCTCGGAATAATCCCATAACAAAGTAATCCCTCACATAGTAATTACCTCACATAGTAATCCCTCACAGAGTAATCCCCTGCATAGGAATCCCCTGCAGAGTAATCTCCTGCAGAGTAATCTCTCACAGAGTAATCCCCTCACATAGTTATCCCCTGCAGAGTAATCCCCTCAAAGAGTAGTCACTCACAGAGTAATCCCCACGCAGGTAATCCCCTCACAGAGTAATCCCCGCGGAGTAATTACTTCAAAGTAATCCCGTCAGAGTAATCCCCTCACAGAGTAACCCCCTTCAGAGTAACGGGGAGTGACATCGCAGAGTAATCCCCTCAGAGTAATCCCCCAGAGTGATACATTACTATACACTGTACTACACTATACACTACAATTTATACTACTATACACTACACTATACACTACAATTTATCCTACTATACACTACATTATACACTACACTTTATACTACTATACACTACACTTTATACTACTATACACTACAAGATACACTACAAAATACACTTCGATTCTATGGGCAGTGTTGAGTCTATGGGCAGTGTTGAGTCTATGGTGTAGTGTTGAGTCTATGGGTAGTGTTGAGTCTATGGTGCAGTGTTGAGTCTATGGGCAGTGTTGAGTCTATGGGTAGTGTTGAGTCTATGGTGCAGTGTTGAGTCTATGGGCAGTGTTGAGTCTATGGGCAGTGTTGAGTCTATGGTGCAGTGTTGAGTCTATGGTGCAGTGTTGAGTCTATGGTGCAGTGTTGAGTCTATGGTGCAGTGTTGAGTCCATGGTGCAGTGTTGAGTCTATGGGCAGTGTTGAGTCTATGGTGCAGTGTTGAGTCTATGGGCAGTGTTGAGTCTATGGGCAGTGATGAGTCTATGGGCAGTGTTGAGTCTCTGGTGCAGTGTTGAGTCTATGGGTAGTGTTGAGTCTGTGGTGCAGTGCTGAGTCTATGGTGCAGTGTTGAGTCTATGGTGCAGTGTTGAGTCTATGGGCAGTGTTGAGTCTATGGTGCAGTGTTGAGTCTATGGGCAGTGTTGAGTCTATGGGCACTGTTGAGTCTATGGGCAGTGTTGAGTCTATGGTGCAGTGTTGAGTCTATGGGCAGTGTTGAGTCTATGGTGCAGTGTTGAGTCTATGGGCACTGTTGAGTCTATGGGCACTGTTGAGTCTATGGGCAGTGTTGAGTCTATGGTGCAGTGTTGAGTCTATGGGCAGTGTTGAGTCTATGGTGCAGTGTTGAGTCTATGGTACAGTGTTGAGTATATGGTGCAGTGAGTCTATGGTGCCGTGTTGAGTCTATGGTGCAGTGTTGAGTCTATGGGCAGTGATGAGTCTATGGTGCAGTGTTGAGTCTATGGGCAGTGTTGAGTCTATGGTGCAGTGTTGAGTCTATGGGCAGTGTTGAGTCTATGGGCACTGTTGAGTCTATGGGCAGTGTTGAGTCTATGGTGCAGTGTTGAGTCTATGGGCAGTGTTGAGTCTATGGTGCAGTGTTGAGTCTATGGGCAGTGTTGAGTCTATGGGCACTGTTGAGTCTATGGGCAGTGTTGAGTCTATGGTGCAGTGTTGAGTCTATGGGCAGTGTTGAGTCTATGGTGCAGTGTTGAGTCTATGGTACAGTGTTGAGTATATGGTGCAGTGAGTCTATGGTGCCGTGTTGAGTCTATGGTGCAGTGTTGAGTCTATGGGCAGTGATGAGTCTATGGTGCAGTGCTGAGTCTATGGTGCAGTGTTGAGTCTATGGTGCAGTGTTGAGTCTATGGGCAGTGTTGAGTCTATGGTGCAGTGTTGAGTCTATGGGCAGTGTTGAGTCTATGGGCACTGTTGAGTCTATGGGCAGTGTTGAGTCTATGGTGCAGTGTTGAGTCTATGGGCAGTGTTGAGTCTATGGTGCAGTGTTGAGTCTATGGTACAGTGTTGAGTATATGGTGCAGTGAGTCTATGGTGCCGTGTTGAGTCTATGGTGCAGTGTTGAGTCTATGGGCAGTGATGAGTCTATGGTGCAGTGTTGAGTCTATGCTGCAGTGTTGAGTCTATGGTGCAGTGTTGAGTCTATGGGTAGTGTTGAGTCTATGGTGCAGTGTTGAGTCTATGGGCAGTGTTGAGTCTATGGTGCAGTGTTGAGTCTATGGGCAGTGTTGAGTCTATGGGCACTGTTGAGTCTATGGGCAGTGTTGAGTCTATGGTGCAGTGTTGAGTCTATGGGCAGTGTTGAGTCTATGGTGCAGTGTTGAGTCTATGGGCAGTGTTGAGTCTATGGGCACTGTTGAGTCTATGGGCAGTGTTGAGTCTATGGTGCAGTGTTGAGTCTATGGGCAGTGTTGAGTCTATGGTGCAGTGTTGAGTCTATGGTACAGTGTTGAGTATATGGTGCAGTGAGTCTATGGTGCCGTGTTGAGTCTATGGTGCAGTGTTGAGTCTATGGGCAGTGATGAGTCTATGGTGCAGTGTTGAGTCTATGGGCAGTGTTGAGTCTATGGTGCAGTGTTGAGTCTATGGGCAGTGTTGAGTCTATGGGCACTGTTGAGTCTATGGGCAGTGTTGAGTCTATGGTGCAGTGTTGAGTCTATGGGCAGTGTTGAGTCTATGGTGCAGTGTTGAGTCTATGGGCAGTGTTGAGTCTATGGGCACTGTTGAGTCTATGGGCAGTGTTGAGTCTATGGTGCAGTGTTGAGTCTATGGGCAGTGTTGAGTCTATGGTGCAGTGTTGAGTCTATGGTACAGTGTTGAGTATATGGTGCAGTGAGTCTATGGTGCCGTGTTGAGTCTATGGTGCAGTGTTGAGTCTATGGGCAGTGATGAGTCTATGGTGCAGTGCTGAGTCTATGGTGCAGTGTTGAGTCTATGGTGCAGTGTTGAGTCTATGGGCAGTGTTGAGTCTATGGTGCAGTGTTGAGTCTATGGGCAGTGTTGAGTCTATGGGCACTGTTGAGTCTATGGGCAGTGTTGAGTCTATGGTGCAGTGTTGAGTCTATGGGCAGTGTTGAGTCTATGGTGCAGTGTTGAGTCTATGGTACAGTGTTGAGTATATGGTGCAGTGAGTCTATGGTGCCGTGTTGAGTCTATGGTGCAGTGTTGAGTCTATGGGCAGTGATGAGTCTATGGTGCAGTGTTGAGTCTATGCTGCAGTGTTGAGTCTATGGTGCAGTGTTGAGTCTATGGGTAGTGTTGAGTCTATGGTGCAATGTTGAGTCTATGGGCAGTGATGAGTCTATGGTGCAGTGTTGAGTCTATGGTGCAGAGTTGAGTCTATGGTGCAGTGTTGAGTCTATGGGCAGTGTTGAGTCTATGGGCAGTGTTGAGTCTATGGTGCAGTGCTGAGTCTATGGTGCAGTGTTGAGTCTATGGTGCAGTGTTGAGTCTATGGTGCAGTGTTGAGTGCATCGTGCAGTGTTGAGTCTATGTGCAGTGTTGAGTCTATGGTACAGTGTTGAGTATATGGTGCAGTGAGTCTATGGTGCCGTGTTGAGTCTATGGGTAGTGTTGCTTCTATGGGCAGTACTAATTCTATGGTGCAGTGTTGAGTCTCTGGGCAGTGTTGAGTCTATGGGCAGTGTTGAGTCAATGGGCAGTGTTGAGTCTATGGGCAGTGTTGAGTCTATGGGCAGTGTTGAGTCTACGGGCAGTGTTGAGTCTATGGGCAGCTTTGAGTCTTTGGTGCAGTGTTGAGTCTATGGGTAGTGTTGTGTCTATGGTGCAGTGTTGAATCTATGGGCAGTGTTGAGTCTATGGGTAGTGTTGCTTCTATGGGCAGTATTAATTATATGGCGCAGTGTTGAGTCTATGGGCAGTGTTGAGTCTATGGTGCAGTGTTGAGTCTGTGGGCAGTGTTTAGTCAAACTTAGTGTAGAAACATCACCATGTTGATCTCCATTCAGCAGTGGATACACCATGACTTGTACTATCTCTCCCCTCCCCCCCCCCTTCGGATGATGCCTGGGGGTCCATCACAGCTGGCCCTGCCTCCATCAGGTGAGGGCAGGAGAGTGAGAGTGTGAGTGAGTGGGTGAGTGAGTAGATGAGTGGGTGTGTGGGTGAGTGGGTGTGTGGGTGAGTGGGTGTGTGAGTGAGTGGGTGTGTGGATGAGTGGGTGATTGAGTGGGTGATTGAGTGGGTGAGTGAGGAGGTGAGTGGGTGTTTAGGTCGCCCGCATGCCCAGCCACCGCATGCAGCTTTTGTTCGGGTGCGGCACGGGCTGGAGAAGAGATGGTAGTGATGTGATACTAGAGGATGTGCAGCTGAGTGGACTTTCCGATGACTGGTACCAGCGGTGTCAAGATCGGCCTCTGTGGAGGAGGCTCGTGAAGGAAGCTACTGGGCAGTTGGAGGCAGTCGCCCTCCAACAACAACGGAGAGGGGAGGAGCGACGCTCACAACAACGAGCGGAGCGCCGGGTGGCTAAAGCAGAGCAAGTTGGCACAGTAGGGGGCACAGGTGGTGCATCAGCCAGTCGTCTCAGTCATCTCAGTCAGCTGACCCATGGCACTTGGGTCTGCCCCTTGGCCTCCTGCCAGCGAGTGTTCGACACTTCACGTGGCCTCAAGGTGCACATGGCCTGGCACAAGTGTCGTGGTGACATCACCGCCACTTAGTGGTGAATAGCGGTTGTTTTTGTGTGACTATATTTGAGTCTGCATGTGAGTCTATATGTAAGTTTATATGTGAGTCTGTGTGTGTAAGTCTGTATGTGAGTTTATATACGAGTGTGTAAGTCTGTATGCGCGTTTATATATGAGTGTGTGTTTGACTCTGTGTGAGTGTGTGTGAGTCTACATGTGAGTCTGTGTGTGAGTGTGTGTGAATCTCTGTGTGTGACGATGTGAGTCTATATGTGAGTCTACAGTGAGGGAAAAAAGTATTTGATCCCCTGCTGATTTTGGACGTTTGCCCACTGACAAAGAAATGATCAGTCTATAACTTTAATGGTAGGTTTATTTGAACAGTGAGACAGAATAACAACAAGAAAATCCAGAAGAACGCATGTCAAAAATGTTATAAATTAATTTGCATTTTAATGAGGGAAATAAGTATTTGACCCCCTCTCAATCAGAAATATTTCTGGCTCCCAGGTGTCTTTTATACAAGTAACAAGCTGAGATTAGGAGCACTCTCTTTAAGAGTGTGCTCTTAATCTCAGCTCGTCTCATGTATAAAAAAACACCTGTCCACAGAAGCAATCAATCAATCAGATTCCAAACTCTCCACCATGGCCAAAACCAAAGAGCTCTCCAAGAATGTCAGGGACAAGATTGTAGACCTGCACAAGGCTGGAATGGGCTACAAAACCATTGCTAAGCAGCTTGGTGAGAAGGTGACAACAGTTGGTGCGATTATTCACAAGGTCCCCCTGCTCAAGAAAGCACATATACATGCCGGTCTGAAGTTTGCCAATGAACATCTGAATGATTCCGAGGACAACTGGGTGAAAGCGTTGTGGTCAGATGAAACCAAAATGGAGCTCTTTGGCATCAACTCAACTCGCCGTGTTTGGAGGAGGAGGAATGCTGCCTATGACCCCAAGAACACCATCCCCACAGTCAAACATGGAGGTGGAAACATTATTCTTTGGGGGTATTTTTCTGCTGAGGGGACAGGACAACTTCACCGTATCAAAGGGACGATGGACGGGGCCATGTACCGTCAAATCTCGGGTGAGAACCTCCTTCCCTCAGCCAGGGCATTGAAAATGGGTCGTGGATGGGTATTCCAGCATGACAATGACCCAAAACACATGGCCAAGGCAACAATGAAGTGGCTCAAGAAGAAGCACATTAAGGTCCTGGAGTGGCCTTGCCAGTCTCCAGACCTTAATCCCATACAAAATCTGTGGAGGGAGCTGAAGGTTCGAGTTGCCAAACGTCAGCCTCGAAACCTTAATGACTTGGAGAAGATCTGCAAAGAGGAGTGGGACAAAATCCCTCCTGAGATGTGTGCAAACCTGGTGGCCAACTACAAGAAACGTCTGACCTCTGATTGCCAACAAGGGTTTTGCCACCAAGTACTAAGTCATGTTTTGCAGAGGGGTCAAATACTTATTTCCCTCATTAAATGCAAATCAATTTTATAGCATTTTTGACATGCGTTTTTCTGGTTTTTGTTGTTGTCAGTGGACAAACGTACAAAATCAGCAAGGGATCAAATATTTTTTCCCTCACTGTACATGTAAGTCTGTATGTGAGTTTATATATGAGTCTGTGTATGTGTGTAAGTCTATATATGAGTTTATTTGTGCGTCTGTGTTTGTATATGTGAGTCTGTATGTAAGCTTATATGTGAGTCTGTGTGTGTGAGTCTAAATGTAAGTTTATATGTGAGTCTGTGTGTGTGTAAGTCTGTATGTGAGTTTATAACTGCGAGTGTGTGTGTGTCTCTGTGTGTGGGTCTACATGTGAGTCTATATGCAAATTTACGTGTGTGTGTGTCTCTATGTGTGTGTGTATGTGAGTCTATATATGAGTCTGTGTGTAAGTCTGTATGTGAGTCTATATTTGAGTGTGTGTGTGAGTCTATATGTGAGTCTCTCTGTGTATGTCTCTGTGTGTGTCTGTGTGTGTGTGAGAGGCTATGTGTGAGTCTGTGTGTGTGTGTAAGTCTGCGTGTATGTGAGTCTCTCTGTGTGTGTCTCTGTGTGTGAGTAGTGGCTGGAGACGCGCCCCAGCAGGCAAATGTGCCCAGTGTGCAAGGCTGGCATCAGTCGAGACAAAGTGATCCCTCTCTACGGACGTGGGAGCGCCAATCAGCAGGACCCCAGGTTCACAGCCACCACCACTAAAACCACAACCACCACCACTATAACCACCACCACCACTATAACCACCACCACTAAAACCACCACTAAAACCACCACCATTAAAACCACCACCACTATAACCACCACCACTATAACCACCACCACTATAACCACCACCACTATAACCACCACCACTATAACCACTACCACTATAACCACCACCACTATAACCACCACCACTAAAACCACCACCACTATAACCACCACCACTAAAACCACCACCACTATAACCACCACCACTATAACCACCACCACTAAAACCACCACCACTATAACCACCACCACTATAACCACCACCACTATAACCACCACCACTAAAACCACCACTATAACCACCACCACTAAAACCACCATCACTATAACCACAACCACCACTATAACCACCACCACTATAACCACCACCACTATAACCACCACCACTAAAACCACCACCACTATAACCACCACCACTAAAACCACCACTATAACCACCAGTAAAACCACCACTAAAACCACCAACACTAAAACCACCACCACTATAACCACCACCACTATAACCACCACTATAACCACCACCAGTAAAACCACCACCACTATAACCACCACCACTATAACCACCACCACTAAAACCACCACTATAACCACCACCACTATAACCACCACCACTATAACCACCACCACTAAAACCACCACCACTAAAACCACCACCACTATAACCACCACCACTATAACCACCACCACTATAACCACCACCAGTAAAACCACAACCACTATAACCACCACCACTAAAACCACCACCACTATAACCACCACCACCACCACCACTATAACCACCACCACTAAAACCACAACCACCACCACCACTATAACCACCACCACTTAAACCACAACCACCACCACTATAACCACCACCACTAAAACCACCACCACTATAACCACCACCACTATAACCACCACCACTAAAACCACAACCACCACCACTATAACCACCACCACTAAAACCACCACCACTAAAACCACCACCACTAAAACCACCACCACTATAACCACCACCAGTAAAACCACAACCACCACCACTATAACCACCACCACTAAAACCACAACCACCACCACTATAACCACCACCACCACTAAAACCACCACCACTATAACCACCACCACTATAACCACCACCACTAAAACCACCACCACTATAACCACCACCACTAAAACCACCACCACTAAAACCACCACCACTAAAACCACCACCACTATAATCACCACCACTATAATCACCACCACTATAACCACCACCACTGAGTGTGTGAGTGGGTGAGTGTGAGTGTGAGTGGTGAGTGTGAGCGGTGAGTGTGAGCGGTGAGTGCGAGCGGTGAGCGAGCGGGTGAGCGAGCGGTGAGTGTGAGCGAGCGTTGAGTGTGAGCGAGCGTTGAGTGTGAGCGAGCGGTGAGTGTGAGCGAGCGGTGAGTGTGAGCGGTGAGTGTGAGCGAGCAGGTGAGCGAGCGGTGAGTGTGAGCGAGTGGTGAGTGTGAGTGGTGAGTGTGAGCGGTGAGTGTGAGGGAGCGGGTGAGCGAGCGGTGAGTGTGAGCGATGAGTGTGAGCGGGTGAGTGTGAGCGGGCGGTGAGCCGGCATGAGCGGTGAGCGTGAGCGGTGAGCGAGCGGGTGAGCGAGCGGTGAGCGTGAGCGGTGAGCGTGAGTGGTGAGCGTGAGCGGTGAGCGAGCGGGTGAGCGTGAGAGGTGAGCGAGCGGATGAGCGTGAGCGGTGAGCGAGCGGGTGAGCGTGAGCGGTGAGCGTGAGCGGTGAGCGTGAGTGGTGAGCTGGCGGTGAGCCTTGAGCGGTGAGCGTGAGCGGTGAGTGTGAGCGGTGAGCGAGCGGGTGAGCGAGTGGTGAGCGGTGAGCGTGAGCGGTGAGCGAGCGGTGAGCGTGAGTGGTGAGCGTGAGCGGTGAGCGGTGTCGTTTGCTCTGCAGAGAGAAAACTCCGCCCAGACCCCAGGGGCAGCGCCCAGAACCAGAAGCACGAGGGGTGAGAGAGCCCCCCACCCCACCCTCACTCACTCACACTCACCATCACTCACACTCACTCACCATCACTCACCATCACTCACCCTCACTCACCATCACTCACACTCACTCACCATCACTCACTCACCATCACTCACTCACCCTCACTCACCCTCACTCACCTAGCCTCACCATCACTCACTCACTCACACTCACTCACTCACCCTCACTTACCCTCACTCACCCTCACTCACCATCACTAACCCTCACTCACCATCACCATCACACCCCCACCCCACCCTCACTCACTCACCCTCACCCTCACTCACCCTCACCCTCACTCACCCTCACTCACCCTCACTCACACTCACTCACCCTCACTCACTCACCCTCACTCACTCACTCACACTCACTCACTCACACTCACCCTCACTCACCCACACGCTCTCACCCTCACTCACTCACCCTCACTCACTCACACTCACCCTCACTCACCCTCACTCACCCACACTCACCCTCACTCACCCACACTCACTCACCCTCACCCACACTCACTCACCCTCACCCACACTCACTCACCCTCACCCACACTCACCCTCACTGACCCTCACTCAGCTTCACTCACCCACGATTACCATCACTCACCCTCACTCACTCACCCTCACTCACTATTACGATCACTCACCATCACTCACCCTCACTCACCCAAACTCACTCTCACCCTCACTCACTCACCCACCCTCACTCAGCCTCACTAACCCTCACTCACACTCACCCTCACTCACTCACCCTCACTCACTCACCCACCCTCACTCAGCCTCACTAACCCTCACTCACACTCACCCTCACTTACCCTCACTCACTCACCCTCACTCACCCTCACTCACCCTCATTCACTCACTCACCCTCACTCACTCACCCACCCTCAGTCAGCCTCACTAACCCTTACTCACACTCACCCTCACTCACTCACTCACCCTCACTCACTCCCTCACCCTCACTAACCCTCACTCACACTCACCCTCACTCACTCTCACTCACTCACTCACCCTCACTCACCCTCACTCACCCACACTCACCCTCACTCACCCACACTCACCCTCACCCACACTCACTCACCCTCACACACACTCACCCTCACTGACCCTCACTCAGCTTCACTCACCCACGATTACCATCACTCACCCTCACTCACTCACCCTCACTCACTATTACGATCACTCACCATCACTCACCCTCACTCACCCACACTCACTCACCCTCACTCACTCACCCACCCTCACTCAGCCTCACTAACCCTCACTCACCCTCATTCACTCACTCACCCTCACTCACTCGCCCACCGTCAGTCAGCCTCACTAACCCTTACTCACACTCACCCTCACTCACTCACTCACCCTCACTCACTCCCTCACCCTCACTAACCCTCACTCACACTCACCCTCACTCACTCTCACTCACTCACTCACCCTCACTCACCCTCACTCACCCACACTCACCCTAACTCACTCACTCATCCACACTCACTCACCCTCACTCACTCACTAACCCTCACTCACACTCACCCTCACTCACTCACCCTCACTCACTCACTCACCCACACTCACCCTCACTCACCCACACTCACCCTCACTCACTCACCCACACTCACCCTCACTCACTCACCCACACTCAGTCACCCACACTCACCCTCACCATCACTCACCCACACTCACCCTCACCGTCACTCACCCTCACTCTCTGCGGGTCTCTGTGAGTATGTAGAATCCTGTGTTTTAGAGTATTTGCCTGCTGCCATGAATCTCCACGTGATGATGATAGCCACGTGGTTAAGCTGCTGCTATCATGGTCGCTTCTGAATAAATAATTTTTTTTAACTTAAAAAAACACG